TCTCCCGCTTCATTTCTGGCCATTTCCCTGACCTTCACGCCTCCCGGCGGTTGCCCTATATGGTAACGGCAACTGCCTTCGCGCTGCGTTTGCTAAGCAATATCGCAAGCGCGCAGAGCGCGCGCGCCGGCTTCGTGGGCCGGCGCGCGCAGAGCGCGCGCCGCATTTGGTTACCAGATTATGTAGTTCCATTTTTGCCCACAACTTGATTTTTCGAATACAGGGCATGATAATCCCGTATGTCAAAGGTGGCCATGCGCACCTTCTTTTCCCGCGCTCGTCGATATGCAAGTCAGTGCAATCGACCGAGGCACTAGTACGCGAAATGAATTATACCCTTGTCCACGGAATCGTAACCGATGTCCTTGCACGCTTGGCGCACGACCGCCTCGTAGTCGATGTTTGCCTTTGTCGTGATCTCCCCAAACACCATCACCATCCCGGTTTTTGTGCAGGTTTCACACGCAACCTGAAATTGGATTGTTGAGGGTAATTAATCTTCGGACATCTTCATACGCAAAGGCAAAACTACAGTGCACAGCGGAGAAAAAGCACGTCGACGCTTCCCTTCTCATGATGGCGAGGACGAGGGACATACACATAAAAACAGAACATTATGTTATCAGTTAAATTTCTCATGCTGTCGAAGTCTAAATTTTTTGCGGTAGCTGCTGAGGAATCTTCAAAATGCTTGTGCCCAGCCACGTACCTTGCTATCGGGATCTTGTTTCAAGCAGGCATCCAGAACCGCGTCAGAAACTTGGTCGCAGATTTTATCCGGGTGGCCTTCATTCACCGATTCCGAGGTGAACAGAAAGCACCCCTCCTTCGGCGGACGAATGTCGGTCATTTTCGAAATGGAGCTACGACGAAAGTCGTGTGCTAACCGTGCTTCCGAAAGAGAAGAACGTGGGGAGACCCGAAAGTCGTGGAACCACTGACGTCGTCACTATTGTTGTTGGTGAAATATGGCCAATCACGACGTCTCTTCTGATTTAATTATCAACCATCAACACCGAGTAGCACCAAGACAAAGCAGAACAAGAAGTAGATCAAGTAGTTTGAGTACTTGGTATTTTGTTACTGAACCACAGAAGAAGCGAAGAAGGTATGCTTAATCAAAACTCAATGAAAAATATCCGAGCAACATGAACATCACGTCACATACACATAGGGGACAGCTATAATAAACACCGAGCCACTTACTCTTCGTTCTGGTTATTCTAGATCTTGCGTTGTTTCCGAGAGGCAGCTACTTGTAACTGGAGAAACTGTGTCAAAACACGGGCGAAGATGCACAGAAAAATCTATCTGTAGAAAGCTCGATCCAAAGGTCGTCCAGGGCCAAGATAGAAGATAACCGGGAACAGGCCGAGAAGCAAACCAGCAAATTCAAACGAAACTGACTCGGAACAACTATACGATGCACTTTTTGCTGTGGCACCGTCGAGACCAAGTAAGTTCAAGGTCAAGCACAATAGGAATAGCTCTGTTAGGATACGGTACTTATATGTATATCGGGAGGGTGCTATCGAGGCTCTTCAGGTGAGTAGACCTCAAGAAGAAGAAAGGGAGCTGCTGTGTTTCAGAATTACTCGTATGGCATTTCTCGGAACAACACACTGTTTGCTCACATGGGAATCAGCCAGAAGCTCTACCACGGCAGGTAGGTTCTTTTAGTGCTGCTTACTTCTATTCTTATTTATCATTTGGTGCAAAGACTAAGACAATAAACACAAAGGACACCAAATGCATACTAGGGGTACACACTTACTTTCTTCTCCACGCGAAGAACTGTTTTCTCTGCTCTCGCTCCAGCGAATGGCACAGCAACATCACAGGCTCGAGGAACACAATTGCACTCACTCTGTTTCCTTGCAACACACGCAAGACTGCTGCTGTCAAGTGCTGCTTTTCCATCGATGACATGGATGTAGTTCCGTTTCATGTTAGTCTTAGTCAGTGTAACCCTCATCAATATCAAACAGTCACCGCTACAAACAGGAACTGCAACGGATTCCGAGTCTCCTTATTGACAAAATGCTAAAACTTGTTGCACGACAGGGAATCGTCCAAGATAGAAGCTGTTCTTCGGGCCACGGAAAAGCCGACTTCAGAATTTTCATGACTGCGCATATGAAATTCACACTTCTATTCAAACTACAGGTACATGCTCATCCTGACGTCTGCGCGAGCTGACCGCGCTTGCGGACGCAAGAAAAGACATCGCATTTTTTCGGCGACCGCTTGCGGCGTGTTCGGCCCAAAGAGCGACAGGATTCATATTCCGCCGACGCGCGGCAATGGACAACAAGGTCCTGTTATCACCAGCGAAACCCCCGTGGTGGATTGGAGACTCCGCAGCTGCTGGGCCGGCGGAAACAGGAAGAGACAACATCGAGCTCGAGCTTCTGCGACTCCTGCTGCTGCTCCTGCGGCTCGACATTGATGAAAAGATGCTCCTTCTTCGGCTTGAAGAAACCCTCCTGCGGCCGCGTATGAAAGTGCGAAAGGGTGCTGGTGCCTCAGCGTCGTGCTTCGGGCCAGTATTTTACTTCAACTTCTGATGCATGTCGGTTTGATACCGCGGTACAAAATGAATACATAAAAAAAGCACTTAATCCTAATCCGAAATGAAGTTAGTGTGCGCTCAGCGCACTACAGAAGCAGCGAGGTTCGATCTGGTACAACATGTATGAGACAATTCTGCTTGCGCATAGGCTTTTCTTCTAGGGGACCGCGGAATTTCCTAGGCAACCAAACTTCTCGCCGTTCCCTTCTTTCCTGTTTGAAAGAATCAAATGTTCCACCCGGCACATGCAGACGCTGATGAGACTAGACGCTTTCTTTTTTATAGTTGAAGAGTAACTCGAAGAATTTCCCGTGTTGTTGGTTTGGTCGCAAATGCGCTTGTAAAGGCAGCCATCAACGATGCACCACACGATCGGTAAAACCACGCACACCAAACAGCATAGGCACGCACCACCAGTGATTTGCCAGATCAAGGTGGAATCTTTGTCTTTGCGTGGCTTGACGCCCGGCGAATGTTGTACGGGTTGCAAAATAGCCATTCCCCCTCCCGGCTGCCCGAACGGCGGCGGGGCGATCGCACCCTGGCCCGGCGCGAGGCCGCCGGGCGGGGAATTGAGTCCGGGCTGCCCAGTGCCTTCCGTCCCTCCCGCGACTACCTCGGTGGATGTACCGGGAGGGAGGGCCGGTAGCGAGGTTGCAGTCCCGTTGTACCCTATCGGAAAGCCGTCCGGGCCGTAGATGGGTTGCGCGGGAGTCGCCGTACCGGTACTATACCCGATCGGAAACCCGTCGGGACCGTATATTGGTTGCGTCATATTGTTCATGCCGTTGGCGGCCTGCTCTTGCTGCAGTTGCAAGAGAGGTTCTTGCGCTTCCGCCGTCCCGTAATTCGCGGGGACAGAAATAGCGGTCGCGTCTGGAACCGATGCGGGTCTGGTGGTGCCAGGAGGAAAACCTTCGGTCACACCCAAAATGTGCGTCTCCTGCTTGTTGTGAACAGAACTGCCTGCCCGCTCAAGCACGCCCACGCTTGCTTTGGCATCTTCCCCACCACCAACAGGAGTTGTGTCCGACGACATCTGCTTGCAAGTGGAAGTGCTAGCTTCAAAAGTTGAGAAAAATCACAATGCGCATGTGGTCGTTGTGGGGTGATACAGTTAACTATTGTATCGAACTTGAAGATGTACAAACGAACATGGCTCACGAATGAATCAGAATCTTGAAAAACTTCTACTAACACGAGGAACTGCAGGAGCCTGAGGGAATCTTTCAACCTCAGACGGGCAATAGGTGCGTGTGCGAGACGGGGACCAGGGGCGGAAAAGTACGGATTTGAGACGTCCAACATGGTGCCCGTAACTATTGGGTCATGAACGTCTTTCAACCGTGCGGAACGTCTTTCAACCGTTCGAAAATATGCAAAGAGGATAGCAGTTGTACAGCTGTAGGAGTACGTGCGTCTACCGTAACCAACAACGACAGCCACGCATTGGTAGTACGATTTACAAAAGCCGTAAACGAAACGCCGACGATGCGACCACGACAGGGATGGTGAGAACTATTTCGTCGTTTTGTTCTTTAGGCACGACCATTGAAACTACGAAACAAACGGTTTACGCGGACGACTTTCTTAGTGCGTGCGAATTTCAAAATAAAAGTATCGTCAAAATAGCGCAGACTTGGAAATTTATCTAGTCTGTGATTGGTTTGTTTTTTCATCAAGCGACATATAGGCCGTTTCGAACCATACGCTTCTGTTGCTAGTAGCGTCATAAAGAGTGCACCGAGCTACCAAGCAGAACACCAACTGCCTGCTAAAGAACAATAGATATAAGCGCACCGTCCTTCGTATCGCTTCTGCTTTTTCAACGGGAGTAGAGAGTCTGCGATGATTTTATTTGCCAACCATGTCAATATTTGGGGATCGAATATGCACGGAATCTGAGGCGATTCTCGAAGCCTACAAACAATCAAACAAGACAGAGCAGAAGTAGCATGCAGCTCTTCTACAGAAAAATCTCGACAGCATTTTTTTCATCTAGTACTCAAGGAGCCGATCGTTGCGCTATCTCTTCATCCATGTTCGCAAGCGGACCACGTGTCCGTGTGGAACCTCACGCTTTTACTATTCCGTGTGCCTGTTTCCCGCTACAACGCCGAGCTCCACCGCGCCGTCGGGATCGAAAGGAAGGCACGCAAGAACATCATCGTAGGAAGGAGCGATCGGCGGCGGTAGGAATAGAGAAGGAGAACGAGGACACCGCCGGGCACTTCGCTCGGAACAAACAAAATTCTTTCGCTGGAGGCTCGGTTGCACCCGATTCGTGTGATGATGTGTCCCGAAGTTGATAACCACACCGATTTCATTATTGTCCACCACAACCCAATCAAGCTCGAGGTGATCTGGTTCCGCATCGCGGCGCCCTAGCGTATTTGGCCTGATCCACAAATCCCCGACGCGTTCTCGCCGCACCACGCCCCAGCTGTGGGAGTTGAAGTTATGCGAGCCCAGATATACAAACCCTGCTGCTCTGGGAACCTGCGTCTCATCGTGCCAAACACACGAATGGTCAACACATAGAATGATTTTCTGGTGAGCCCTGACTTTTTCGCGTTCGGTGAGTAACGGTTGCGCTTTGTAGGTGCGCATACTGAGTACCTTCTCCTGTCCGGCGTACCGGGAAGAGTGGAACTTATCCGAAAGAAACCGCGTGATCAAGAAGTGAATGTCCCAAAGACCCGCTTCGGTCGCCCAGTCGCGCAGAAAGGTCTGCGGCATCTCTTTGACAAAACACTGCGCAAGGGAGCCCGAGGTCCCCCCGATCTCCTGCGGTTCTCGATTAATCCCGCGCCGCTTGATGTAGCAGCCGCCCTTTCTCGCAGTGTCGTCTCCGTTAAACGGGTCGTTCGGGTCTGGCTCGAGGAAGTCGAACCAGTCCTCACTGTACCTCCGGGACCATGCGTAGTCGGTACGTATTATCTGCTTCCCCGATCTGTGGTAGTATCGCGTCTCGGAGGCTCGCTCCCTTTCCGTCCACCCTCTAGCGTAGTACCGGCCTGCCCACGCGGAAGTAGATGGGCCGCTGACCAGGATGCCGTGGGGCTCTGCGTAGTTGCGCAGCGGGCTCCCTGTCACCACGAAAGCCGTCCTCGTTGCTGCCGGTGACGCGTCTGGCTTTTTCGGTGACGGAGCACAGAAAATGGAAACGCTCTCCAATCCGTTAGGTAACCAAAGTGCTCGGCACAGCGCCACCCTAGCTGCAACATCCAACTCGCAGGCCTGCGAATCGGTCACCGTGACCAGCGCTTCCACGAACTCAGGTTGGTACGCGGGTGCAAAGGACCGCTCCACGCTCACCGGGCGGTGGTGGCGAATCTGGTGCCTTATGTTTTCGGCCCCGAGTGGGCGAACCAGCTTCTCGACCTCAGAGGGATCATCCACGCCGAGCCGCACCACAGTCAAAGTATTGCCGTCAGTGTCTTCGAACAGCGAAGGGCCAGTGTGGTCAGAGACGTCGACTCCAACGCGCGACTGGCAACGGTAGAAATCCTCCAGCGCAGCCTCGAACGACCCCTGATCGGCCGATAAAGACAGATTACGTTTCGGAGAGCCGTGATCTTTTCCTAGGCTGGAAGTCCACCTCCCGCACGCCCACAGACGTTCTAGGTACCGCCGTCCATCTCGTTCCTCAGCGTAGTAGTTGTAGCGTGGTTGGCTCGCCGCGACACTGACAACACACTGCTCGTGGGGAGCAATTGCTGCAAACCAGTCCAGCCGGAACAGTATACCGTGCCACGCAGCGGTCATACGAGACTGGTCCTCTACAGGTTCTGGTAGCAGATGACAGAGCATTTTCAGACACGACCGCGCGAAAGGGTGCTTCAGCGCGTCGGCGAAAAGATCCCTTGGACCGTTTCTACAATTTTCGCATTCATCTGGTTCGGAGTTTCCTGATGCTGCTCCCGCGATTTTCTTACTGGGTGTCTGCCCGAGCGGAATATCGCGGACCCATACCACTTCGTTGGTGTAGTCCCAGTACTCCGTGTGAAAATTTGCCGAGGTGATGACCAGGCGGACCCACTCCTTTTCGAAATCACCTGTTCTTTTGTACTGACAACTCTTCGTTGGTAATTCCTCCACTACTCCGTAGTGAAAAGCGAGAATCTTCGTGTGGTGCCCCGTGATGGATCGATGCGACCGGCACTTCCTCTGATACAGATCTGGCTGCTCAAGTAGACTTGATGTGTCGGCACCTGCACCTGCCGCGGTATCTTCGTGCGTATGATTGCCAGCTGCAAAAGATTCCGACCCGGGGTAGAAAATCTCCAGCAGGCCCTGGGGATCCTCGTCGCTTTTGACCATGCGCAACTCCGAAAATGCGTCGATATTTTCTTTCGGCATCAATAGCAGCGAAGTTGGCACCGTCATTACCTCCCCGTCGTGCACGCCAATCCGACGGAGCAAGCTCGCGGAGTCTGGAACTTCGTAAGAGGTGACCAGGACGCGAAGAAGCTTTTTCCCCTCGGCCCGCTTCGTATTCCCTGAAAATTCACCATCCTCATCCACTTTTTGCATGACAAACACACTTTTTACTACATGTTTTGCATGACAAATTGGATGGGCATGGTTAATTTTGAGGGAATACTTCGGCACCAGGTCCTCCAGCGAAAGACATAAATTGTCGTCGTTTACATCTCGCTCCAAAATTTCGCAATCGCGGTCCACGAAACGGATTTGGTAATCGTTGCTGCTGCAAGTGTACCCCTTCAGCCTGTTGGCAAAAAAAAGAGGCTGTCTTGGGGCAGCATCGTCATCCACATTTTTGCCGCTCGAAGGTGGTCCTGTGCTGGGGACGTGTGCCTTCAATGGGGAACGACCCGAGTCGGACGAGCCACCATCGGAGTCAACGGCCATATTTTTATTCGTAACTGACAAACTTTCAAAAAGTGAGCCAATGCATCGCGCCACGCATACACAATAAACCTTGCACAGCGGTAGAAAATGTAGCGTCAGAATCTTGCCGTTTTCAATGAAGATCAGAAGCCATGCACAGAGGTTGATGGATCCCTGGAGATGACATGTAGCGGGACTAGTAATTGCAAACAAGACAAAGAGGCTTCCGAGCAGGAGGTCGCAACACCACAAGTCCACTTCAATAGCGTGGCCAGCTTCATTGATTTTCACGCTGGTCCGGACCGGGACTAAAACTTCATTTGTCGCTGTTGTTTTCGATGTTCTGTGCCAACTTTGTCTTCGAAAAAAGTACTTCAACCAAAAAGACACTGGACCGCATTGTTCTTTTTTCACATGGGTACCTACTCAGTTCAGAAGGAATTGTCCAGTAATCGCTTATGCTCGCTTCTGTCACTTGACCTTTCTTGTCGTTATCTTCCGTGAAGATTTACGCACTTTTGCAGTGCTCTGAAAATTCTGCTCCTTATTCAATCAGGCGCCCTTTTTGCAGGATTCGCTTTTGTCTATGGAAAACCAGGATACAGCTTCTAGAGTTGTGACACATCTGAGTAAATTAAAGGCGGCACAGAAAACGCACTAGATCCTCGCTACGTGATGAACGACTCGCATGTTGTACAAAGCACCATTATTAGTGAATTTACTTTTCGTTTTCCACCGCGCAAACGTAGAGACACTAACTTTCTTAACATGGATACAAAGCATTCTACAGCAATGCCACGAACTGCTCCTTCGTTTTCAGCTATCATTCAACCTGCCAAGGTGGTCAAAAAAGCGCGGAGAAATAGTTCTGCAAATTTTCCACGTCGGTCAGGCACGTCCGATAGTTGTTGACGGCGTTGGCCCACAAGAACCAAAACCCGCCTAGGCGCACGAAGCCCAGCTTCACCACGCCAGGTAGCCCAAAAACGACGGCCCCAGGACTTCGCGTAGTAGTAGCAGGCCAACCAGGTGAGGACTCTGCGTCCGCGGTGGTGGGGCTGTTCCAAGAAAATTCATCCAGTACGCTCCAGACCCGCTCCGTCGCGGGGTTCATTTCCCTTGCGCGCGCAGGATGTTGCGCAAAACTACCATCTCCAATAACGCCAGTCGTGGAGATGTCGACCTCTACTTCGTGACAACCACGACCTTCACCCGCCTGATTTGCGGGGGAGATCTCGAGCAAAAGAAAGTCCCGGAAACTTTCGAGCTGCGGAAGCGAGACGCCAAGGCGGTTCGCAAGCCCGGTATTGGTATCTTCGAACGTAACAGCCTTGGGATGGTAGTAGCACAAGTGGGAAAAGAGCACCCCGAGAAGAACCGAACGACGGTTCAGCGCAAGCTCCAGGCCTGAAAGGTGGACCGAGATAGTTTTTACTTTTTTGTATTCATCGTGGTCTCGCGGCCCAGGCACAGTTGCATAGATCAGCTCCAAAAATACGTTCAAATACGTTGCCTAAGAGGCTGTGCAACAATTGGACCCCCTTTCGCCATGGCGAAAGGGGGGGTAACGGCCCGCTGGAGACCAACCTCCCCCCTCCCCCCCCCCTTTCGCCGGGAGCCGTGCGCAGTAAAAAAAATTGCGGCGCGGCGCGCGTGCACGCTGCGAGAGGGCCTTGAGGTGCGCCCTGTGCTCGTGCTGCAGGAATCGAAAAAAATTCGCTCTGTGCCCGCCCCCTGCCGATAACCCGAACAGGCTTCCTTGTCTTGTTCGTTTTATTTGTTGCCCCGCGCGCGTAATGTAGCAAATTTTGCGGGGCGCGCTGCGCGCGCCCCTTGCCGCTATATTCAAGCGGCCGCCATGCCGTGCGGCATAACCTTACCCACGGCGGCACGGCGGGCCCAGAACATTGTATCTCATTGCATTCGCCGGACCTGAGGGAGCGCGCATGTTTCCCCCCCTCCTCCGCCAGAGCCAGAGCCCCACAACACGGGGCAAAGAAACTTCGGGCACGCCCCGTGTGCCCGCCGACTCACTTGCCAAACCCCCCCCAAGCAGCACGGGCAGCCAGGGGTCAACACATGGGGGGCCCGCAATCACCCCGATGCGACTCCCTGCGCGGAATGCGAAAAAAAAAAGCGGCGCGGTCTCCTGGTCCCGCCCGCCCCCACATGTTACGGCGCGCCGGGTTCGGAGCGCGCCGATAGATAGCACGCAAAGAAATGGCTCGTGGCGGACGCCTGTTCTCCTAATGCCGAGTAACCACCTGGCTGCCCCATGCGAAGGCGCCACAGGAAGAAGAGCCGCCGGGCGTTCGATTGTTGAGAGGCGAGACCGCCGGGGGGCCCCTCCGTCCCCCCTTGCGTCGGGGAGCCAGCTCCCGTCGTCCGGAATTGGACCAACCTACCTCCCCCCCCCCCTTTCGCCTTGGCGAAAGGGGGTCCAATTGTTGCACAGCCTCTAAGGAAAAACTAAAAAAACATCGGACCAAAAACAGAACCAGCTCTTTACTTTGCTTCGTCTCTGCAGACGGGACGACAAATCCGGCGCTGGCGTTGCGATTTTGGTAACTACCTTGGTCCCACAGCGGGAGGGCTTCGTACTGCTTCAAAAGCGCTATCAAGCTGCCTACCAGATGCAGCAACGAGTGCCGCGGGTAGCCCCGGAGGTTGGAGCGCCGCAGTGGTACTTGCGACAGACGAAATGTGTTCAAAGGCACAATACCTGAAAAAGTATGTCGACAGGTTCATCTCCCTTCTACAGCGAAAAAAACATACATGCGAAGCTACCCAACAGGGCACCAGCTAGCGCCTCATATAATCTTCAGGCATACCTGTTCTCCACGGCAGCGCAACCAACTCGTCATCTTCGAGCACTTGCAAGTCTTCCTGCTGCTGCGCGAAAAAAACGTGACTGGGTTTCAACCCCGTGAGTTGCTCGAGTGACTCCACGAGGTCTTTGACAAAGGAGTTTTGCCGAAAATTTCGGTCCAAGATCTGCAGACAGGAACCACCTAGCGCCCCATCTGCTCCTAGTGGACCACCTCCTCCAGGGCCCCCGTTCACGGCAGCGGCACCACCAGGCTGCGACGTGCCACCCGACGCTGCTGCTGCTTCCACGTGCAGTCGCAGCAACTGCAAGATCCGAAGGACGATGAGAAATTCGGTCGGGTACAGGGCCGGCTCAGACAGGTACCGGTTCTCTCCCGTGATGATGTTGCCGCTGCCCTGGAGGCATTTCAATTTCCGGCCGTACTCTGTGACAATCTCGCGGTTTCCGATCGGGAGGTTGCCGCCGAGGAGGCTGGAGTTGTTGTAAATCAGCTGCTGGTAATGCCCGAAGTACATGGGCCGCGGTTGCACAAACTTGGCGAATTCCAGCGTCCGGGCCTTCTGCCGCTCGTCCACGTTGACCGGGGCGAGGGGCGACACGGCCAACAGCGCGCGGCGGCTGAAATGCCGGATCTCCTCAAAGACGTTGACGAGGACGGACGCGAGAGGCCGTTTGTCCTCTTCGAATACCAACAATTGGTAAACCTTTTCGGCCAGCAGCTCGCAACAACAGTATCAACTCTCACCATGCTAGTTTGCTGTTCTCATTTATGATCCATTTCATTCACCTATTGATGCAGCTTCGCCGAATAACTAGTCAGCGTAGACGTAACACTACATACCACATTTCTTCTATCGTGTTCTTTTCTTTTACCGATAAAAACCTTATTGCGGAAACACACCAGGCTTCTTTTTCCGTCTGCCCTGAAGAAACAAAGTAGAGGCAAACTAGCGACAAAACTTCCCCATAGGATAAACAGGTGAGATCACTGAGGAAGCTGTCTTGCTGGGTGGTCAACAGCATTCCGTTGCTTGCTCCGCCGGCGGCCGCGGGGTTGTTCGTGCCGCTGTTGCGCTTCTCGTTCTCTTCTTGCAGGAAAATCTGCAGGTGGTGAAAAGCCGCGGCCAGTACCCGTAGCTGGATGTTTTGCGCCTGCATGTGCACAAACTTTCCCTGGAAGCTCCGAAAAACTGACATGTTATTCTCGTTCGCCTGTGCTGCCGTCCACTTTATTCCGCCGCGCCGGTCTCGCTCCGCTTGCGACCCCACGGCCGCTTCGGGCTCGCTGTAGAGAAAATCTCGTCCTGGCGGCGCCGTGGCGAAGTTTTCATCGTCGTACCTTACCGGCCACAGGGAACAGGTGGCTCCATATCCTATGTAAAAACGTACCCACCCCGTAGTCAAGATGGGGAATCGGCTAGACAAATCCACAAGCTTTGGCTGTTTCGCATGACAAATTTGGACGCGTAGTGTAGTGCTGTTTGAGCTAGATCAGCAGCATTACAGATCTAGTCTCTCATGCTGATTGGAGCATGACAAATTGCAAAACGCCATTAGAAAATGCTTCTCATGGGGCTCCGCATGAGAAACAATTTCAGCATGCAGATTTGCAATACAACTCTGGGGTGGGGACGTTTTTACACAGGATACTCCATCCGGCGTGATTAGGGGGACGAGGAGGTCTTGGGAGTACGCGCGCGCAAGGTGCTTGGCCACGTTGAAGAGGTACTCGTCAAACAGAGGACTTGTCAGCATCTCCGAGATCAGGTAGCACAGGTTCCCGGCGTCCCGGGCGCGCGTGAAGATTTGCAGCGAGTAGGGGTAGGCGAACAGCTCCTGGACCAGAGCCTCCGTGCCCCACAGTTCCCCCAGCGTCTCCAGAAACGCCGTGGCCAGCTGCCGGTCCCGACTGCCGTAGAACTTGTCGTCCAGAAAATCCAGCGCGTAGTACTGCGCATGTTCAAACGTCTGTGTGTAGGGCCAGGTGTCGTGCGAAACTTGGGCGCCCAGCTGCGGGCTGAGCTGCGGCGTGCTGGAGTTGTTCGTTGAGGCGGAGGGCGGATGCTGGTTGGCGCTGGTGCCCGCGTGCTGGGCACCGCCCCCTCCGGCCGCAGCCGTCGCCGTATAATTTTCGTACTGGCTGTTGACATGGTACAGAAAATCCTCTTCCTCCCGGTCGTCTTCCTCCTCCTCATCGATTTCGGCAGCGCCCTGTTTCCCGAAGGTATTCCCCTTGATCAGCGTGCAAAGCACCCGGGTGCCCTCTCCAAGATGAAACAAAACGCGGCCACAGGCGTTGTTCCCGCGCAGCACCTATGAACTGCAAAAGTATCGTACTCGTAGTAATCGCAAACATGCATTACAAAAACAAATCGTGCTCGCAAGGTAAAACTGCATTACAAATTTTATTTCTCATGCTGTGGAAATTTGTAGTGCATTTATACGAGTGCGATACTTTTGCACAGGATAGCACCTGCAGCAGCAGCTTCAGCATGTGTGTCCGCAGGGGCGTGCGCTGCTCGTGCTGCCGAAAGTTCGATGCGACGTCAAGCTTGAAGAGGAGGAGTAACACGAAGCGACCGTAGGAAAAAACGGACCGTTCCACAGAGGAAGCGCCGGCTGCAGCACCGTCTGGTGTTCCAGCGATATTATCTCCTGCGGGCAATTGATGTACCTGGTCAGGGTGTTCCATCAGCAGCCTTCGCTCGTCGAACTTGATAAGGCTGTCCAGCACTTCGCCTCGGTCGAAATCGCTGCTGTCCGGGTTGGAAAACAAGTCGGCGATCAAATCGCTGATCGTGATACTGTCCTCGAACAGATGCAAGATTTGCTTCGGCAAGGCCGGCAAGACGAATCTGTTTGCGCCGAATTGCTTCACGAGCCGCGCTTTCTCTCTGCCGAGGGAAAAGGACGGAAACAGGTTGTCGGGAACGGGCTCGGAGTTGGCCGGAATCCTAGCCTTGATTCCCTGGTTTATTTCCGCATGCGGCTGCGAGGAAGTAGTAGACGCATTGGCTCTTTTGCTTGCGGTCGTCGACGTGCGGAGACTCGATTTTCCTCCTCTTGAATCCTCGTCAAACAGGAAAAACCAAGGTTTCTTCTTCTCCAGATCTGGCCCGCGCTTGTGCTGCATCTGGGATGCTGACGATGCGGACGGTGCTGTGCCTTTCACGAAACCCTTTGGCATTTGTCCGGCGGCCCCGGCGCCCGTCTTTGCACGATAGAAACCATCGGTCGGAGACTTGTCGAGCAGTCGTGGTGTAGTTCTGCCCTTCTCCAGGCCTGCCCGAGTGGACATTTTGGAAGCATGGTTCTGCGCAGCGACAGCGCTCGCTTGTTGTCCTCCCGATCGGTTCTTTCCCGCGCCCGCCTTGTGGACCGGCGTACAAGGAAGGCTCTTCCGGCTCGACTGTTCCATCAAATGGCGCCACTCTTTCTGCATCGATTTCTATCCACAGGGAAACGTCGTGGGCAAGCCGTGCATTTGTTTTACGAGCCAGTTTTTCATGAAATCTGATCATGACAGACAACAAGGCGACCAATTCATCACAACACGCGTTTGCCCTTGCACGACCTGCATACTCTATTTCCCTTCGATAAATTGCTCAGCCCACCGTGCTGCGATGCTCCGAGCGTGGTCTTGCTCTTGCCGACCAGCGAAGGAGAACAGGAGCCAGAAGCGGCTGCTTTTGAGCGAGCATGTAGCCCGGTCGCGGTTACAGGTCTACCACGAAACTGTTGATCAGGGCCTTCCCCACCCTCGCTGAAGTACTCCTCGCATGCGCCGTGATTGTCAGCTTCTTCCGCGTCGCTTTTGTTCGAACCGCGAAACTGCTTTGGTGCACCGGTAGGATGATCATCTTCACCGTCTTCGTCAGATACAGCAGCTCCGTGGGCTCGGCTAAAAGCTCCGAAACTTGCGCTGTCCGTGGTCTGGTCGAGGAACGTAGACGCCCGTCTCGTCCGAAAAAAGTACCGACGCCCACCTGACGAGGTCGAGGAGCTGCTGGCGCTGGAGCAACCAGGATTAGCCCAGCACGCAGCAGGGAGTGCAACATGCCTGCTTTCAAAAGGCGAACTTGCCTGCGAAAGCGGATCCGCAACCAGCATCTGTTCGTGCAGGTAGTCGACTTCCAGGAACTTCGTGAGCGCAGGCTTCACGTGCTTGAGAAACACAGCATTCATGCTCGACAGCAGAGCTCGCAGCAATTGCAAGTCCGAATCCACCACGTCATCTCCCATCGTACGCTCACCTTCGTTCCGCGCTGGTGCTCCTGCAAGAACTACGGCGCCCATGACTTGCGCAAGCACCTTGGGATTGTTGTGTTCCGCGAACAAAACCTCGGCGACGTGCGTTTTCAGGTCGATCCGCAAGTCCAGCAGCGCGAGCACGAGTTTCAAACAGGCCTGCAGTACCGCGCTCTGCTGCGTGAAAGCCCGGCACCGGATCAAACAGGCGAGGAAGGGCAGGGCGCCCTCCTGCAGCAGCATCAGGGCGGTCTCGGGGACCAACCGCGAGGTCACCTCATTTTCCAAAAATTCCAGCTGTTGCAGAACGCGGTCCTCCAGTGCCTTGTAGATCGGCACAATGGTCTGATCACTTAGCTCCTTCTTCAAGGAGTCAAACGACTCCAGCACCTTCGCAAACGGCGTTTCCATCTGCTCGACGAGCTTTTTAATGTCTTCCGCCGTCTCGTTCACCAGCAACGTTTCGACTTCCTGCTTCGACACCCCGAGCGCAGAAGGAGCACTTGTTGTTTTTCCCGTTGTAGCTATTCCAGTTGCCGCACCCCTGCTGGCTGCGCCGCGCACGTGGTGCCCCCGCGACGGCGAAGATGAACCTCCGCCAGCAGATGCTGGACCAATTGTCGTTGCACCACCAGCACTGTGGTAGTACGCGTTGCCCGAGGTGGACTCGCGCTCCTTGATTCGAAACTTGAGCCACCTCGCGACCTTCGGCGGGAGGAAGCGGAGGAGGTAACAGTGCAGATTCCGGCTGTAGAGCTGCTCCAGCACGCGCTGGAAGTTCGCGCACTCCTGCTGCCACGCTTGCAACAGCTCCTGCTCCACGCGGTGCACGGACTCCGCGAACCAACGCACATCTTCGAGCTTCGCAAGCGAGACGTCTCTGGTGAGCTCCAGAAAAACATCTGGGTAAATCCGCGATAGGTCCCAAGATTTGATCGACCCCGAGCTACCAGAGCTTCCTGCATTCGCGTTACTGAAGACAACGCTGGCCGCGTTACTAGTGCCGGGCCGTCCACCTCCGACGCCGGAACCCGAGGTCGAGGAGGTGGCGGCTGCAACTTTTTTGTTGCGGTAGTTTTCCACCGCAGTGTCCAGATCGAATTCTATCGCCGCCTGCAGTATCGTCCGCAACTCGGCGCGGAGCAAGAACCCACGCTCCGCCTTATCGAGAAAGAGGAACACATCACGACAAAGCTCCTCGCGCTTACTCTGGTCGGCAGTCGTGTCATCCCGGTTGCTTTCCGCCGGTGCTCTTTTCGACGAGGATTTTTCCCCTCTCGCTCTTGTTCTAGCAGACAGAAGATTTTTCGCAGTCGCTCCTCCTGCAGTGGTGCTACTTGTCGAAATGGGCGGCGGCGGATGCGGGTGATGTGTTCCTTTCTCCCGCTCTTTGTTTCCGGTCTCCCCCTGTGGTTGCTCCTCCACATCGCCTCCAGGGCCATTCTTTGCCGCAATGCTTTCAGAATTCATTGCCGGCAGCGAGGAGCGTTCGTCCTTACGCAAGGTTGGCCAGCCATCAGAGCCGCATCTTTCCGATCCTTTCACAACGGCAAGTCGCTGCTGGGAGTGGACCGCTAAAAATTCATATTTTTCTGTTCTTCATCGTGCTTTTGCTTTTCTTTTGAGATTGCTTGAGTCAGGTCTCGCTCCTCTCAATTTTTGTTTGTCTGTGCCTACGTGCAACCTCTCAAAGATTTCCAACTTGTTTCTACGGCCGCAAACAAGCAATGGTGCGCACGGGTATCTGAAAGAACATCTTTCGTTTCCTGAGCTGTACTACGCCCAAAACGACAGCAGTGTATTGTTGTTGATCACTACACTTTGTTCGTCGCTGAGTCGAATTCAGTACCAACAAGCTCGAGTCATGAGAGAGAAAATCTGCGGCAGGAGGCGAATAACATGTTCATGTTGAAAAACGAGGACGTTGACGTCCTAATGAATTTGACAACCTCGTCTTTTTCCCTATGCGTTTCATGCCACTAAATTCAAATCATCCTGCGGTTGCTGCTGGTGCATGCACTCCCGGCGGGTACGATTCTTCTACCAGGGCATCACCTTGGGTGGGTCTCCGCTCGTGGGTATCATCCAATACACCCCAGTTCCGTCCATGCCCATTTTGGTCTCGAGGACATTCATCGCAGCGAAAACATTATTTGTCGTGAACACGAATGCAACGTCATCGTCACTTTCCGTGACGCCATACGAGACTGCGTTTTTGCATACATTGCATATAGTACGTTTATGCAGGAAAATCGTCTCAAACGGTAAGACGGATCGCGACGAATGTTTCTGCAGTTTTGATACTGTCCAGAATTCCCTTCGTTGCTTGCGAAACAGGTGCGGCGCCAAAGCTTGACATCGCCTGATGGGGATCGCGAGTGATGTAAGCGTCAATTTTCAACGCGCAATGATCAACCGCTTCTAGGACAACTAATCACAGCCAACTTCAACCACGACTTCCAATCCTGAGGTTCGCGCCAGTGTCAACCAGTTTGATGATCGTATCAAGATGAAAGCGGCGTAAGTTTTAAAAATAGGGGGAAATTGTCATACCTGAGAGCCCATTCCGAACTCGGTTGTGACCATTCCCGGCGCGATCGGACATACACAGATCTGCTTTTCTTTCAGATCGCAAGACAGCCCCTTTGCCACCATGTTCATAGCTGCCTTGCTGCAACGATAGGCGTACACACCGCCCGACCTGTTTCAGTTTTTCTTTTTTCCGTTTTTTCCCAGCAAGAGACCTTGAAAAAGAAGTGCGCGTTTTCCATTTACAGACGTGCTATGTGTTCGCCTACTTGCCCCTTTTCCGCAGTGTTAGGCGAGATCAACAACGCCGCATCGTTGTAACAAGGCATGCAAAGAAAACTGTACCCGTTATCCGCAATAGAGCCCATTCCTGTCGAGAGAAGAACGATCTTCCCACCCGGCGATGAGCATCACTTTGCAAAACACGTAATTCCCACCCTTCCTTCCCACACACATGCATCGCAGCGTGACATCGGAAATGGATAAGTAAACCGGATGAATCCTCGCACGCAAACAAAATTTACACTTTCATACAAGCCGCGTGGGATAAAAAGCAAGGGTGCGTGTAATCTTCTGCGAACGATAGGCGGATCTGGTCGTTGACGGCTTCCTGCACACGCAAAATCCCAACACAGTTCGTATCAAACGTTCGCAGCGTCTATCGAAAAGAAAAATGCATCACTTACAAACGGGCCCTTCTATTGCAGCAAACTCAGCTAAACTCCGACCTCCCGAATTTGCATCCATATCTTCTCATGGAGCACGGGGCCGCTGCACAATAACGTCACAGCGATGCAGGTTTTCTCTAGTCTACGTTTCCCGCGTACCATGGTCTTGTAGTTTATCTTTCCCAGCTTTTGCTCCGCAAAGATGTCCCCGCCCTTCAACTCGCGCGTTGCATTGACCGAGCCTGCGTTGTGGATGACCACATCGATTGTGATTCCGTCCAAGGCCTTTTTCAAGACGCTACCGACATTGTCATCGCTGACGTCCACATTTTCAATGACTGTCACGTCCCCAGCCACGGACGAAAGCTGGTCCTCACCGGTCATGGAGCTGCCGCGCGACTGCCGCACCGTGGCATACACCTTGTCTCCGCGAGCAGCGAGCGTTTTTACCAGGTCCAGGCCGATACCGCTGCTGGTACCGGTAACGAGGTATGTAGCCGGCATGATGATTTTCCAAAGCTTGCACGAATGGGAATAGTCTTTGACTTCTGCATCTTCCATGTACAACAACGATATAATACGTCTTTAGCGCAAAGAAGCGCCCAAAACCTCCCTCATCTTCTCTCGTCCACGTAGCTGTGCTTTTCGCAAATGTCCACAAAAAGACATAATCGAACCCATTGCAATGAATCGAACTGCTTTCGCCAAATATCAACAGAACGCGGTATCCAGCACTTTTGTACTTATTGACTTCGAAATGGATTATTTCCAAGAACTCTAAAAAAAAGAGTGGAAATCAAATCGTATCTTTAGCTGCAAGATTTTTCTGTTCTTGCGCAGTGTTTGTGTTTTCGCTTTGCGACAAACTATGTGAAAGAACCGATTCGGTCACATCCTGGTTCGGTCGCCACCCAACAAAGCCGTCCCCAGCGCGGTACTGCCCGGCCTCCCGCTGGAACTTTGCCATATCAGCGCCTCCGAATTCTTTCCGTAGACGCACAGTGCGACAACATGAAAGCAGGCTAAAAGCAGCACAAGTGGTGACACGCCCGGTAGCCCCAACAGCCAGTCTCGGTATGCGATCCCCCACCAGGCGTGCGAGAAGAGGTAAAACAACAGCACGAGATGAAACACGTTCTCCAGTATACGAACCGAGCGTGTCACGGTTCTCAGGCCGCCATTCCGTGACGTCGTGCGTTCCTGGTCAATCACCGTGTCAAAAAGCTCGTCCCACATCGGAATCCCGTGATGGCAAACCGTCAATAGCAGCAAGAGCGTGTCAAGGTGAAAATGTGACTCTCCCTCCGAACTCCACGAGAGTTGAAAATGTCTATTTGCTGTCGCATACAATAATGTTTGTAACACTTCTTCTCAAAGACCTGCATCGCGACGTCACAACAAATAGCGCGTACTAGTGACGTTGTCGGGTGGAGGACAATATCAGTTTTCACCTCCATAGGACACGTAAATCGGCACAAATGCGTACCAGGGTCCGTTCAGGGTCAAAAGTTGGATTTCGTGCAGCAGGCTCATTACAGCGAGTGGCGACAGGAACAGGAGAAACACGGCAATCAGCTCCGCGGCGACACGAAACATCGGGTACGGTTTTCTAGTTCCCCTCTCTTTACCTCGAAAAAACCGCTTGCAGGTCGTGTGTAGGTAGATCGACATCAAGTAAAATTGCAACAAGGCAATGGTTCCCGGCGTCCGTAGCTTTCCCGCTGCGGTGGGGGCGTATTTCCCATCGTACGCGAGGACAACGGCGGGGAGAAACACCGTAGTTCCTTGTCTTCTGCAATACCGCTCGTGGTCCAGGAAAAACAGAAGGGCGAGGCAAATCGGGGGCACCACGCTCAGAACCGTTCCGACTGGAAGACTGTCCTCGTCGTGGAGTGGAGTCGTGCTACTGGGAAAGTTTCCAACTGCATCTGATGCAGGTGCTGCTCCAAACAGCTCGTACGCGACTGCAAACCCTGGCGGGAGGACCAGAAAAGCGACCAGTGATAAAGCGTAGACGATGTTAACGATCCTACTCGCAGTTTCGGCCGTCGCTGCGTTCGCGAGCGTTAACCGCTCCGGCACCTGCTTCAGCAAAACCTTGTGCGTGTACATATCCAGCAGACAAATTGCTAGTGCGAAAACGTAGAACCCCTGCAACACGGCGATAAAGTAGTAATCATCGATGTTTTTCCCGTCGACTTCATTCACGCCACCGATGTGCAAAGTTTGCTCCACGATAAAGACAAATACAGCGGTAACAAATCCAACTGCAAGGACAACGGCGAGCGGCTGGAGGTCCGCCATGAGTTCTGCTTTTGCTTGTCGCTTAGACCCACAGCTGTAATTCCAAAATCGATGCTTGTAGTCGTAATAGAAAGGCGCAAAGTAGTGAGCCTTTTCAGGTTTTCTTATTACCCGTTTTTTTATTCAAGTAAAATGCGAGTAAAAAATGCGGTCAACGAAATGTGCTATGTTAGTATAGAAACTCCTGCTCATCCCTTGGTTGCATTACCCGTGAAAAAATGCGAAAACGCAACGCGCTAATAACTTAGGAGACACCTACTTCTGCTCCTTCGTAAAATCACACTACCGGGAGGGCAGGAATTTTCCTACAGCACATTATGGTACGGATGGTTCACGCGTTTTCGCCAGATTGTCGAGCACTATACGACAAAGAAAGGTCACCGACTAAAGTTCTAGTGCACACACTCGAAAGATCGCACCGACTACTTGACCGACGCAGATTCATCCTGGTTTTCATAAATCGCAGAGAACCAAGTGCTGCCGAGAGAAAACACAGCTGCTGCGAGTCGTCAACTTGACAACCTAGGGATCTGTGGGCAGCGAACACCTGGTGAGGATAATCAATATTTCAGAGACCAGCGACCTCCTCGAGTTCGCAGCGGTCCATTCACACGTCTTATCTTTTCCGCATTGCAGAATGATTGTCCCATGCGCCGTTGCTGCAACTCAATCCTTCCTACGACGGTGTCTTTTTTTTTGTAGATGCACATACGAATTTTTCGGTACAACTACAAGCATACCAACGAACTTTATCTGTGCCCAGCTCGTCAATGAGGAAGTTTCTAGAACAGGTAGAAGCTTTTGTGTGGCAGCCACGAGGCCCAGGTCGTTGCGTCAGGATCGTGCCATTTCCAAAACATCGCAAATGGGTCCACTCGTAGCCACCGGTCGCTGTTTTGTAATTGTGAGTTCAGGCATGGACCTTTTTTGTTGCAATCTCATCGATCCCCAATTATACGAAGACAAAGCAAGTATATTGATGCATGATAAAACACTCCGAAGCAGCATAGTAGAAAATTAGTACAAGAAGTAGGCAAACATGCCACCGCAGATGAAGGGAAAGATGAACAGGTAGTGAAAATCCTCCCAGATTTTGTCCATGGGACCTGTGAAAGAAGTGAAGGCGTGCGTATTTGTCATCAAGATGCAAGAGTTGCGCGATTGCGGTCGTGCGAACAAAAGCAAAACAACCCAAAAAAATAAAAAACGTCCTCGCGTGGATAAAACGAAATAAAAATATATTTCCCTACCTGACCACGCGTGCGGATCAAGATGAGTAGGCCACGTGTTCTTCTGCGGGTTCAATTCCTGTTCTGGTACGCCCGTGAAAATGCTCTGCAATGGGTCCATATTCTCGGCCTCCGCACGGTACAGGTGCTTCACTGATAAAGTTTAGCACAAGTAGACACTTGCCAAGTTCACTTTTTGCTTTTCAAAGAATGTAACTGCAAGGCTGAACTGCCCGAGCCAAGAAGGAGCGAATCCTGTTCCAAAACAAAGAATGACGGCTAATCTAAGTACGTCGCCTTTTCGTTTGGTGCCAGCCATTTCGCAGGTACTGGTACACTGGTCCGCCGGCGTAGGGTGACATGACGGTTCTCGGGGCGACGTCGTAGCGGATGCGACTCTCCGCGGGGTAGTCGAACTGCGTCCAGCCCACCCCCGTTGACTTCACCTTTGGTATCACCATCACGGAGCCACCAAATGCTCTTCGCTGCAGCAGCGGTGATGCGTTGCTCGGCATGGCAGGAAATCGCGCAAGGAGGAGCCTACTGCTCAGCAGTTGTGAGCTCCCACTGCTTGAGCCGGCGGCCTGTTGCGCGCCACGAAAAAGCGTCCCTCGCAGCATGGTAACGGGGCCGGAACACGGGGGCGTCCGTCGTCCTGCTTTCCACAAAGGTACCAAATCACCTCCTCCGCCTGGGTCTTATAGCGGCTACCGCATCAGCGACAACCAAGCTACTCCACCCAGGAGCTTCTGGGTGTTACTTCTCTAGGATAAAACAACTGCCACGAAAGAACCGGAAGTGGAGATAATCACGGAGGGACGACTTCATGCCGCTATGGCATCCATTTGCTTCAAACAGAGCGAAAAAAAAACTGTTTTTCTCAGACGCTCGTCCGCGGCGCTCCTACCCACTCGTAATGCAGCCACACTCCGCACGGTCGTGTCTGGCCTGCCCCTCCTTGAGTTCTTTACCAGACCGGGGTCAAATACGCGATCTTCAATTGTTTTGTGTATCAACAACAAATACTACTTCCTTTCTCTGCATTTCGCAGGGTCTTGCAGCCTTTCATTTTCACGACTTCTTTTATCGGTGCGGCAATAACCTTTGCGGTTGCTTTTGGTCTACAAGCTCATTTCTGGTTTTGTTGATTGTTCTGAATTGATTATACAGGTGTCAAGTCATTTCAGCTCCTGGCAAGCGTCAAACGACAGCTCGCTCCTCGACATTTCTGGTGACATTTGCGAATGAGCCGCAGTGCGCATATTTTTCCTAAACAAGGTGACAAGAGGTGCGGTAGCAGCAGCGCGCGCAGCAATATTTTCCGCAGACTACATTCATTGATTCAATTGTAAGATTCATCAAAGAAAAGTAAGACTTGCCACCGGTGCGACCCGGGGGCCGACAAGAACCGGACGGGCATGCTAACAAGACTAAACATTCTCTACGACTAAGTCGAAAAGTGAAAGTAAGCAGAAAGGTAAGAACAAGTTATACGTAAAAATAGGGTCGAGAATACGCGCCCTCATTTTTTGAAATTTTACAAAAAAAAGCTGAAACGAAAGAGAACCGGAAAAGGTTCTTCAGCGCGGAAACACGAAACATTGCTGCGTGCAGTTCGACTACGGGGACGCCGCGCCGCCGGGCGACGCGGCAACCCTACCAGGTGAGTCGGCGCCACCGCCCGCATCCGCAGCTAAGCCAAGCTTTTTCGCTTCCACGGAGCCGGCGGGGGGCTGTCCCTTCGCCTCCAAATCTGCCATGACCTCGGGCGGGAATTCCTGCTGGTCCTCCACCAGCCGCTTGTAGGTGCCAAACTGGTCGTTGAACAGGTCCTTTAGATTCGGTTTGGATCCCTTGCCGTACTTGACAAAGTTTTCGTAAATGTCGTCCCGAAGCCGGCTGTATTCGGACCACAGCTGCTTCGACGGTTTGTTGGACGCTTCTATCGAGACTTGCTTCTTCCCCTTGGAGCTCGACGTCGCCGAGCTGTTATCGTCCGCACTCTTCGATTTTGAAGGATTCGTATGCACACGAAAATTGCCCGCTGCTCTGTCTTTGCAAGACTGTTCGAGCGACTATTCCAAGTGTGAGTTTAAGCTACGGCGCATAGAGAAATTTTTATGCGTGCCCTCTCGATGCCAATCAGCAGACATTGTATCGGCAATTTTCAGTGGCGTAACTCTCGTCGCTACCGCTGCCGCGCGCGGAGGAGGCTTTTTTGCCCTTTTTCTGCTGGAGCTTTGCGAGACCCGCGGCCCCGGCTTCTGGCTCCTCCTGTAATTGTTTTCAAAAGTTTCTACAGATCATCGTTAATTTCAATTTGAGCAAAAACTTGGAAGAACTTCACGGGGATCATTGCAAACTTCATTGAACCTCCGTCAACGTTACACGTCGCTTTTTTCAAAGACTGAAATAGTACAACTTGTTTTTTCTTCTCTTCCTTCGGTGCGCTTTTACTTCTCCGATACTCCAGGATGAGTTGCCGCCGCTTCCTTTTCTGGAGGAGTTCGCGTCTTTTCTTGCCATATCACAATCAAAAAAACCGCCCTCGCTCTGTACAACTTTGTGGAGTACTAGATGCTCCTGATTTTCTACCCTGGTTTGTTCCTCGATAATTTCAGGAGTTGTACAGTCTACTGCTTCTACTTTTTCTCTACGTCTACGAGGTGTTTTTAGTTTGCAAAGGACAGATTTTGCATGTGATATGTCTTTTTCCATCTTTTCGATGAACTTAGGGTCCAGGTGCTTGGGCTCCGTTATGACACGCTTGGAAAGGCGCTCGATGACCTCCGGGTCGAGAATGTTCCATTTCTGCAAGGCCTCTTTACTGTAACCCGTCTCGTTCACTGCGGAGAAGTTGTAGTTGTGTCGTGCGGCAATTCTCACTAGCACTACTAGTATCTCATCACGAGCCCCGTCATCATCATAGAAAGAGAGACTAACCCAAAGCTATAGGCTGGTACACAGAAACAACTTGGCATTTACTACTTCGAGAAAAAAGAAACCTTCCGTGTGGGTGCCCGCAAGTTTCGAGCTCACATCCGACAGCCTCGAGGACCGCGTTTTTGCCGAGCTCTCCGCGTCCTTCTGTTTGGAACTACCGCTCGCCGACTTTGCGTCCCCGCCCCCCAAAGCGGAATCCAGGGCGGCGTTTGCGTCGAACTTGGAACTCGCCTTCGAGCTTTCGTCTTCCCCGATGTCCTCGTGGTCCGGCCGTATGCGCACCTTCTTCTGCATGAACAACGGCTTGGGCTTCCAGTTTTTCGAGTTCTGCATCCGCCGGTCGGCCACCTTCTTGTACATGGTCTGCATCTCGCGCGAGTAGAACCCCTGGTCGAATTTCTCGTGGATGTGGTCGCTGATCGCCTCCATGTACTTCCCGCTCATGAGAAATTTCTGCCGTTTCTGGTAGTTCGCAAACGACTGCGGGTTGTTCAAGTCGATGCGCGCCTTGGTCCGCGGCGTCAGCTGCTCGAACGGCGTGAACTGGGCGAGCGGGTCGCTCGGGTGCAGCGGCTGCACCTTGTAGTTGGGGTCTGCGGCCAGCTTCCGCTGCTGCTGTAGCTCCCACTTCTGCCGCTCCCCCGTCGGGTCGGGCTTCAGCATGTGCGGCATCATAAACTGCGTGGTCTTTCGCGTCTCTGGCACGATTCCGTCGGGCTTGGTTTTCATCATCGGCCGCCCCATCGGATCCATCTGGTTCCCCTCTGTTGAAGGATTAGGATTAAGACTCTCGGTACTTCTAAAGCAGCGCAAAATTAATCAGTATGGGGGGAGTTTCAATTTCACCAAATAGGTTTACTTTGCATATTTAGCTCATAAGTACACTCTCATTTTTGCCTTTTGTTTTCCGATCAAAAGAACATAGCCTCACGATCAATCTCCGATACCTTTCGCTGCGAAGGTGTCTCCTTTCCCCCAGATCTGGGGCTGGTAGCCATTGTTGTCCGCCCACATAACGCGGACCGCCTCCAGTGCTTTCATGCGGTACTCCATCTCCTGCAGGAGCTGCGTGATGAACACCTGCTGTTCCTCCTCCGAGATCTCGCGCACCTTCCGCTTCGGCTGCCCGCTGATGCCGTCCATGCCATCGCCGTCCTTTTTCTTTTTGCCCAGCAGCGCGCCCTTCTTCTTGTCCTTGCTGGACTTGTCGCCCCCGGTGCCGCCCTCGGACCCCGCGCCGTCCCTGCCGCCGACCAGGTCGTTGGGGTCGATGGAGCCCCGGCGCTTAAACGCATTCCTCGCCGCGGCTCCGCAGATCTTTACGAGAATCTCCATCAGCGCGTCCTCGACAACGCCCTGAATCTGCTCCTCTTGCGGGCAATTGGGGTCGTCCGTGGGGATGTTGACTTTGTAGGTCAGCAGGAAGATGCCCTCCTGGGGGGTCAGCGTGATTTCCGGCCGCAGGCTGGACTCCGGACCGAGGATCGCGAACTTGTCCAGCACCTGCTGCGTAAAAAACCGCTGCATGTCCACCAAAAACTTCGTCAGCTGCCCCCCAAACTGCGGCGCAATGTCGAACAGCAAAGCAATGCGGCGCATCCCGAATCTGCGGCCAATTCATTATGCGATGTGGATGATGTTATATGAAACTCAGGCATGATCATCTCGACGCACTACTACACAAAAAGTGCGGGGTTAAAGGGGTGGTTGTCGCAGCCAAAATTTAAAAAAAACAAGTGCGACAGCAGGCACATTAAATAAAAGTTGGATAGCAGGCACAACATAAAGTAACACGTCAATAAGTACGCTTCGACTTCCTCGACGGAGCTGAGCCCTTCCTCGGTCGTTTCCGCCTCGGTGCTGGTCTCGGAATCTTCCATGACCCAGTCCTTGCCCTTGACGATGACTTCCACGTCCAACTTGAAGGGGCCGTCCCAGTCATCGAGGTCGTCGTCCTCCCCCTCCAATTTCGGAAGCAGCTGCAGCGTCGAGTTCGCCTCCAGCGCCATTCGGTAACGGTCGCGAATCTTTGGCCGCTTGCTGATCACCTCCTCCGGGTCCTCAGCCTCTTCGTCCGTCTCGGGCTCTTCCTCGCCGGCAATGGCGCGCGCCGCCTGCAGTAATGAAAGATGAGCGGGATGAAATGACGTTATTACGAGATGCAACGGTTTTACGCGACCAGTGCTGACCCCGTCCTGCTACTTGGGCAGAGATCTACACTGGATTCATTTGATGTTTGCAGGCAAAATATTATCCAAGTACAAGTACCTAAGGGTGCATCTCAGCAGCTGCGACAGCACAAAGCATTATACACAAAGTGTTTATGAAAATTACTTACCGCAGCTGCCTTTTTTCTCTCCTCCATGACCTTCCTCTCGCGGTCTTCTTTCTCTTTTTTTCGCGCTTTTTCGCGGTGTTTGCGCTGCGCCTCGGCCTCGAGGATCTTGAGGTAGTTGATTTTCGTGTACAGTTGCTCGAGTTCATCCGCTCCGGGTTCGTACACGCGGTAGACCACTGGCTCGTATCAAGTGCAAAATTAATATGTGCTGCCATGTAGCCATACGCGAAATCAAATCGTATCTGAAAGTTTCTGCTACCTCACGACGACGACAATCAAAAAACTTACATAGCGCTCGTCATATTCCAAGAAACAGACCGCCCACCACACGAGAACTACACGGACAGCTCCTCTACTAATATTCTTCATCGCGTATGACTACTAAGACAGTCGTATGTTTTGATTCGCGCTGGATAGCTCGGACTTCATGATGATCTCCTCTCCCCCGATCTCGATCCGGGTTTCCGATTCCCGTCGCTTCTTCCGTTCCTGCGCCTGGGCGTAGGGTCGGAAGGGCCGGGGGGACTTGGACGGCGAGGAACGGGACGAGGCTGCGGGACTCCCGCCCGTCGAAAACGCGTCCCGCTCCTGCCGCTCGCGCTCCTCCTGCTCCTGTTGCTCCTTCAGCGCCTGCTTCTCCTCGTCCGTGAGCTCGGGCACGGGCAGATCCGGCTGCCGCCGCAGCACGTCCCGGGCGGTCCCACCGACCTTCTCCATGTTCGCCTCGATGGTGGCGGCCTCGACGGGCCCAACTATCCATAGTAAATTTTCCGTACACGTACAAATGCGGTCTCTGCGTGACAAAGCTGGGCTTCGATCCTAGTGTAGCATGACAAGTGTGACACCCCAAATTGGCAAAACTTGTGATGCATTTTGTACATGTACAGGAAATTTGTATTGCATACCAACCACCACCAGCACATACCGCTGCGTCGGATCCTCGCTCATTTTTGCTGCCGCCGCGACGTCCGCTCCCGCTCCTCACGCGGGCTGGCAAGGCAATATGTTGGGGAGTTTCACTCTACAAGAACTGCGCGTCGCCGTCGGCAGACGTGCTCCTGCAGCAGTTGCCGCCCTCTACATCTCATGTCGCCGTGATCTACACTTCAGACAGTCTTCTTGCCCTCTGTGTCATTCGGACCACGGGGGATGCTGTCACTGCGCCTAATTTTCTTTTTCAAAGAAAAGTATATAGTACCTGCAAACCAGTTCGTTTTTCATAATCAGAAATATCTTGACCATGTCATAAACAGACATCGCCGAAGACGAGAGCCGCCTTCTCCCATCTCTCTGTCTCTCGATGCGCCGGTGATTCATGCATCAACATGATCTTCTCCTCCCTCTGACGATGGATGCTACTTAACGAAATAACAACTTACAACAAAACGACAAAGCGAAAACGCGAATCAACCTCTAGAGTGCTCCGAATACCCTACCATTTTTGAGGATAACGTGGGTCAGTGCACATGCTCTTCTCAGTAGCGCGACACTGTTGACTTGTGTGCGGAACAATCTGACGACATACAGCGGATCATATTTTACACGGACGCGTTTGTTGTCATCTGTTCGACTTTCGTCTGCAGACACGGATACCGTGCCGCCGCTATCAGTTGTCGGTACGAATTTTCAATTTCAAACTAACTTGAGACAGCTTGTACCGGAAGCTCGGAAAAACAAAAATAAGCTCGGAAAAACAAAAATAAGTTCAAAGATAGGTCCAAAACGGAACTCGCTCCGTTGTCAGAGGCTTTTCTTGAACTAAATCTGGAGAACTAGAGTTACTCATTACCTCTGATGTAGTTCAAATGAACGAAGAGGTGGAAGTTCAGAAACCGCTGCAATTGCAAAGTGACGTCTGTCACAGTTGCGTCGAAGTCGATTCTGAATTTCTATGAGAGTGCAGCTTTTGATAAAATTTCCTTCGTGGCGCCAGCGCGCAAGACTAAATGGATAAGAACCAAAGTAGTCTCTGCTTCCTGGGGGCAACTTATGCGAAAAGTAGAACGACGCTCTCGCTCTATCCGCAGAAGTAAAACAATGTGCCCCAAAGGCATGCGGGCTATTGACATTGAAAAAGTGTATTCAAATCTTCTATCGATTGTCATCTTCGTTAAAATTCATTCTAACGGGCGTGCCCCGACAGTCTTTGTCATTTCCAGCTCCTCGACTGACGCTCCCACCGGCAGCTGCGGCACCAATCCCGCTGACTCCGGAGGTTCGCCTACGTGGTTCTTTCGGCTGCTGTCCGCGGCGGAACGGCCTAGAGAAGTTCTGCTTGAAATGTGCGAGAACGCCACTGCGCAGAGTAGCAACACGTTCCAGATGCACATCACGACGAACCAGAAAAGCGGCGCGGCACCGTACCCGTAAAAATCGCTGTTCCCGCCGTCATTCACGTAGGTTTCGTCGTCCAGATTCAAGATTTTCGTCACGGGCGCTTGTCGTGCCTTCCCGGTGAGCGAATCCAGCCAGCTCTGCTCCGGATTCAACCGCTTCTGCACCGCCGCCACAACCGCGTCGCCGAACGGGTCCTTCGACGTCGTGGGTGACGCGTTTAGGATACTAGCCTTCATCCCCGGCGGCGACTTCCCCGCGGCTGCCTGCGTCACCGCGAAGCACTCCGCCGTCGGCATCCAGGACTTCGCACTGCTGCCAAAACTTTGGTCGTACTCCGGTCCGCAGTGGTACTCCAAACCAATTTCCGCGACGCGCGAGGCCGAGAGAAACCCGCTCTCCTTCAGATACGGGAGCACGCGTATCCCACAGAAAAAAGCTGGCAGGTCACATTTGTAATGCAAAAATACATACACAAAGAAATCTGCACTGCGTATCCTAAACAGCATGCTATGAGGCCGCCCATGACAGATTTTTCTGTGTATTGATTTTTGCATTACAAATATGCCGATGCCCTGCCAGCTTTTTTGTGGGATAACGCGCCACTCCGCGCCTTCGATGTCCATCTTCCAGTAGGGTATCGTGGCTCGCTGGCCCACCTGCAGTGTGCGGAGAAGGTCGGCGATGTCGATGGTCTGAATCTTCACGTCGCCGGCGTGGTGCGTCTTCGGCTCTTGCCGCGAAGTAGCCCCTGCTCCGTTGTGGTCCTTCTTCGCGGTCACCACCAGACGCGCCCCACCCTCGGATAAGCTGTACACGGACTTCGTTTCTTGCCGCCCGGTAAATGTCAAGGTTTCATTTCGCACCCAGACACCCCGAGGAAAAAAGTGCACCCGCCACCCGCGACTCTGGTAGGCCGCCTGCAGCCGCGCCAACCGCAGGTGGTGGTTCGGGTTGGGCTCGAAGCCGAACGCGCACACGGAGGGGAGAAGTTTCCCCTGCGGTCGCGGGGACGAACTACCTGTTCCGCCGCGGAACATCGGACGAGGAGGGGTTGCAGGGCCGTCCGCCATTTTTGGAGTCTCGTCCTCCGGATTGTCGTAGTACTTCGCTTGGAAAATCGGAAAGACTAGCGAATTCGGGTAGCGCTCGGGCTCGAACAGCTTGCGCACCTGAACGCCGCGGTTAGAACCCATGTCCATGTAGATGGTTTTGCACTCGCGCGCCCAACTTGGCAGCCGATCGGTCAACTGACCTTCCGCCTGCATTCCCACCCAGGCCGCATATTGCGACGTACTGAAAACCTCCTCCAACTGCACGAAAGTTCCTGCGCGCCACGCAAACCAGGACGAGAAACTTATGCTGAGGAAACATGTGCTGACGACAGTCTTCACCGAAACTTGTCATGCTTGACATTGCCTCACTGCATGGATGCTGCGACTTAACCTTGAGAGAGACTTGTAGATAAATTAAGACACTGTGCTCACTGAGAATGACAAGTTCGGACCTTGCAATTTTTCTCAGCATTTGTGTAGGATAGGCAGCAACAGTAGAACCGATGTCGCCGCGACGCATCTCGTTGGTTTCGGCGCCATTTGCATTTTTTCTAGTTTCAAAATACTATATCCGTGGTCACTACTGCTCCGCATACCGGAGCTGCGAAGATAACGACAGCAGCTACTCGCTTGGACGCGACGGAAGCTCCTGCGTTAAATAGTACTTCGCACTCGCCAAAGAATTACTATGAGATCCGAAAAACGACAAATTGATACATTCCATTTTCAGGAGGAGGAGAAGCAAGATTCATCAGTCCGTGGTTCTTTTGATGCATCGATCTCTGCTGAAATAGCCTGCACTTTCAGATCGCGACATCAGCTCTTCAACGAGATCGAGGTCCTGACAGACTTGCTTCAGTGCTTGCACCAGCGTCCACTCGATCTCCCGTTCTTGTGTCTCTCAGAGCCGAACCGAGAGCAACTGCACAAAAAGCATCGCTTCAACTGAACAAGAACTAACTCATGACTAACAGCAACGTCGACGAGGTACATGCTGGTGTTCGAAAGCTAGCCATAAAATTCGATTTGTGTCGGTCACCTACACTTGAAGCGAATGCTGCAATGCATCATGAGGGAAACAAATGTCCCGGGATCAGCTGAAAAAAAATTGCGTATTATAGAATAAAAAGAGGAAGAACATTGACTCTGGACTGCCACAAATAAGGGGCTCAACGCTCTCATTCCCGTCCACACTTTCGCACTTCGTTCCCATGATCACCGTGCGGCGTTTTGCGAGGCGTAGTACGCGGCCATGTGGTTCTTTTGCGGGGCCGCTGCGTCCTGCGACGCACCGCCGGGGTGAAACCGCTGCGGCGCTGCGAACCGCGGACTGCGCCCCCTTGGAGACTGCGGCCGCCGCAACTTTGTCTCCATAGCTACGCGGTGCGACGACCCAAATCGCGTGCTGCTGGCCGCCATCGCGTCTTCCAAGCCCCCGGCGCCGGCAGTGTCCGTGTAGGTTTTCGGCGACGCGCGGCCTCCGCTGTGTAAGCGGCTGCTGCTCTCCGATTGCGCCGAGGCCGTCATTTTCGGCGCGGCGGGGCCTGGCGAAAGGGAAGTTTTTCCAATCCGTGGCAGAAGAAGCCTTTCATTGACCAATCCACATGCCATCTTTCCAAATTTTTCATATTTCTTGTTGCATTTGTCCAGGTAAAAACCTCCCAAAATGCCGAGGAGCCTTACACGAAAGAAAATTCTGTTGAAGTGACAATTACCTCCGCGCCGCTCGTCCGTGTGACTTCTTCGTGCGGAACCCGGTCGGTGAAGGGACGAGCCTCCGCTTAGTCGGTCTGTTTCAAAAATCATATGGAAGGTACAGCTCCATGCAATGCAACGATCCGTGCATGATCGCGCACGAACTCAACGTATGAGGCTTAGCCAGAGTGCACGATGCAAAAACAATCGAAAAAATCCTGGGACACCGATACCGTGATCCGCGAGGCAGTAATTTCCAAACGCGTTCGCAAGGCGCTGCGGTCGATTCCCGGAGTGTGAGCGGTCGGCACCGCGGGCGCTCATCTTCTTTTCGCCTGAGTGGGAACGGTCGCGCCTGTCATGATTCGCTTGTTGCACCGGTGCCGGCGGCGCGCCATTGGGAGCGCTGCTGCCCTTCGTTTGCCTTCCGCGGTCCCCGGAGTTCGAGCGCTCGCGAGCGCCGGGAGCCGCGGCGCTTTGTGCTCCGCTGCGGTGAGACATTGATGCCGGTCCGTTCGCGGTGGACGAAGAGCTTCCGCCTCCACCCGGTGCAGTGCCGGTGTACATTGCCGCGCTTCCCGACCTCGGGTTCTGCTGCGCCTGCGCCGCCAAGTTGCACGCGTGGGGGATTCGGTGGGCGTCGTTTTGGTGCTGCAGCTTCTTCACTTCCGCAAAGTAGCGCAGCTTCTCCTTCCGCTCCGTCTCCAATTGCTTCTTCAGATTCTGCAAATTCTCCTTCAACTGCAGATTGTGCTGATTCTGCGACTGCAGCTTCGACTCCAAGTCCACTTTTTGCGAGTGCATCTTCACCTATCCCGGCACAAAGTCGTGAGTCAAGTACAAGTCTTTTATGCATTTGCATACTCAAACTCATACACAGAAAGACATATAAATAATCTTTGCGCAAAGACCATCACAGGGCTGCAGCGCCGCTTCAGATAGTGAGCTACTCCCTACGTTTACGCCTGAAGACGGAAGCACCACGTATTGCTTTATTTCAAATCAAAAACGCAACGAAGAAAAATTCTCCAGCATTGACCGCGAGCTTCACGCAGCACTTTCGGGGGATATCTGGGCTTCCAACCGCTCGGACTGAAGCAGGTGCCGCATGCTGGACGAGTGTGCATGATTGGAGGCCGTCGCACCCCCGTGCTGGACCTGCGCATGTAGTCCTTGTCCCCCTCTTGTGTTTTCCGCTGCATGCTGCTGGCCACTACCTCCACCTCCATTCACATACGCGTAGAAATGTTCCCCCCTCGCACTCTGAAGATTTGCAGCCTTCGTGTGCCGCCCTGCACCACCGCCAAAGCCCGCACCGGCCTCGTCGGGGGCGTGATAGGCGTTGGAGTAGTATATCAAAAGGAAAAATCCCCCCTCCCCATATCAAAACGGAAATCTGTGATGCAGATTTGTTGTCACAAATCAGCTTTGTCATGCTACACGGGAAAAGATGCGGGCTGTAGTGCTGGGTGGCGTGGGGAAGCCTTGCATCTTCAGCATGATAGGAGGCAGCTGAGAGTGGGAAACAGCATGACAAATTGCCTGCAAACGAGGCCACGACTGCGGCTCTTGGCCTTCTAGCATGACGAGTCGATTTGTGACCTCAAATACAGCATCACAAATTTCGTTTTCGATATGGGGAGGGGGGATTTTTCCTTTCGATATAGTAGTGCGAAGAACTACTGCTGCTGCTGTGAGATTGTACCCCCTGACTGTTGTGGACATACGACGACGGGTGCAGATTGCTATTTTGATATTGACCATGCCCAGGGCCGCCGGGGAGTAGCTGTGGTGGGTTTGACGATGCCGCAGCTCCCACCGCGTTTGTAGAAGAGGTCGCCCTTGTGACTCCGCCGCCAGCCGTTCCGGCGCCCTGCGTGCCACCGTGCGATCGACCGTGGGGCTGAAATGTGCTCGAAGAGCAGGAGGAGCTCGCTGTAGAATGATAATTCTTCCTCGAGGTTGTAGTACTGTTTCCCGCTCCGCCGGATGCAGACCCCAGTTTTTTCTCCGCGAGATGCAACTGCTTTTCCAGGTCTCGGATCTTCTGAAGGTGCTGCTGCTGCAGATGGAGTAGCTCGCAGATCTCGGCGTCCTTTGCCCGGAGCTGCTCGTGGTGCGACTGCAGCTCTTGCTGCTTCTGCTTCTGTCGCTCGTGCCGCAGACTGGTGACCACCTCCAGTCGAGCGTCCCACTCAGTTTTGAGAAGCGACGAAGCCGTCATACCGTCTTCTGACGAAGGCGAATCAGATCCAACGGCAGTGTACCATCAAGAATGCATTTTCATTTCTAGAAGAGCGAGAATAATAGATACTGGTCCTTTGGCGAGGCGTACACGGTCATGAGACGTGGTGATAGCGCAAACAGATGGGCTTTGTTCGTACACGTGCTACAAAAGTTCTTGAGCACAGTCAATGACGAAGACATCAGCTGCTAGGAGCAGGATGACCACGAAGCAAGGCTTCGACACTCGTGTAGCCCAGCCTGTTGCAACTGAAATGCCGATATGAAGTGCGTACGCGAGGCCGCATCAGAGAGCAATGACAATGAGAATCAGTACGCATGATGCGCAGCCAGCAGGTGAACTTAACTTCGATCAGCAAGAGACAAAAACGTCCGACTCAAAGTGGCCAAGAAAGCTCGGATCCGACACATACGGACGCACAAATGAAGAAGAACAGCGAAAGCGGCATCCGGTAAACTCGGCCGCACAGGGACAGTTCACTTTGTAAAATATATTTTCCCAACTCGCAACAGCCATTCGAAAAGTAGTGTCGTTGATTGTCGAAGTGTCGTATCTCCTGTCGCTGCCTTCCTTGGTTCCAGGACATGTTTTCTCTTGATCATTTCTGCTACTAATGTATGTATTATACAGTGTCGCACCCTGCTATACTGCTTTTACTTCTCCCGTTTCAGGAGAAGGGCCAAGCTAGTGCTTTCCCCAGTCCAGAGGTGAGAAAGCATCAAGTCTCAATGCAGGAGCAAGACCCACCAGGGCTATAATAGCGTTAGTTTTCGTAGCTAGAGGCTACCCCGCGGCCCACTACGAAGATGTTTTCGCGAAAAAATTTAACTTTCATCTGTGTATTCGTCGGTATTAAAAGAGAAACGAACGTCTCCCTAAAGTATTAAGACTCGGTAAGCCCGCAAACAGGTACAGTCGAAATAACTTTCCGTTGCAAAACGGGAATCGCCAGCGATTAGAATTATACAATCCAATGCATCAGTGCGACTAATAGCTGCAAAGAAGCAAGTGAGTACTCAGATTCTATCTCTTTGAGCACAAAAATGTCGCTTTCCTTCCCATTTAAAAATGATCTCCAAACAAAACTCTGTCCGGCTCGGGACGAAAAGGTTCAAAACAATGAGGGCCGCAGCGTCAGCGTGGAGTCGTGGATACATTTTTCGTTACATATCATTAGCTCGTGTAGTAGTAACCTTCATTCATCCCCTTGCCTCCATATTCTCCCCCTGCAGATACGCCTTTGGTCCCGGCAACGGGCTCTCCGACAACCGCCGGGGCGTATTTGTGCGTCTGGTGCATGGCTGCCGCAGCTTTCCCCCTGCCGCGGTAGTGCACACCAAGAAGCTGCGGATTCCAGCAACAGGAGGCGTAGAAGGCGAAAATCCAGGTGAAGCAGGGCATCCAGGAAAAGATGGCCAAAACCGAGCACCCCTCGTAGTTAGTCAGCACGCACGGCGCGCAGCAAAACGAGAGGCAGCAGTGGGGTGGGTGTCGCTTGTCGCAGCCGCACGCACCAAACGGCACCCTGTCATCCCTGCACGCGACAGCAGTTGTGCTGGCACCCTGAAGATTTTGATTCTTTATCTTTTGAAAAACCAGTGATTGCAGTTGATTTTGATTCTTCATGAATAGCAACAGTGCTGCCCAAAAACTGTCCTACCACTGCAAGGCTGACGACCTCCTCTCGCGCAAACTTGTTCACCCAAACCATGGTACTCATGCAACCAGGGAAAAAAGTTGTTGCGTTCATCATCATTATTAAAAGTAGAAGTTGTATCCTACCGAAGAGCCTGAGTTTCCAGACGATGGCGAACTGTGGGATGGCGATCTCGGCGGCGATTGTGCTACTACTCCAGTTCCACGGCCTGACATTTTTGCTTAATTACGGTCGCAGCGGACGATGTTGCGGATCAGAAAACTAGACCTAGAGTAGAGTCTTCACAACAGCAAAACAAGTTTGAGCTGTATACAAAAATGAGTAGCAGTCCTCTAAAAAGTCACGCTCGTGACACTATGCTACTGAAAGAAACGGCAGGTGGGTAAATCAGTATTGATTGTGGCACATTATTCAAGTAATTACCGGCGAGCCGCTGAGTTCCTGATAAAATCCAAAACGACAATCTTTACAAAAGATGCACTTGAAGATTGCGCGTTGACCATACTAGAATGCGAGGATCCTCCACCATGTCAGCTCTTTATTTTTAGGGATCTACGTACACATTCTCCGATCTCCTGCCGAGCATCTGTGCGATGGCACTAGAACTAAAAACCGATCCGAGAAAAGATGTATGCTTCAAGCCGACAGAGGTGTGTTTGCAAGGAACCGAAAATACGCGAGTCTTCTGGCAGGAAATAACGTACCTTTTATCATGTACTGGTAACAATGTGGTATACTGCAACCGACGGAAGAGAGCAAGAACGCTTCTTCTGACTACAATGCAGACCTGGTGACCACGAGATTTCTGCACCATGAACCGAAAACATCGCAGAAGCGACCGGTACCGACACAGGCAGGAAAAAGTATCTCAAAGATGCAAGAGCCGACTTGAAGATTTACACTCCACGATTATGCCGCTCCTTTGGCTTCAGCAGTAGCTTGACAGCTGACTATAGGTCTGAGTCTGATCACGACCATTCCTTTCGTGGTACTTACACGTCGCTTTTTTTTACTTTTGACGAGCTCACATTGACTGAGTCAAAAGACTTTATTCGCCGTCCTTGAACGACATACTTTCAAATACTAAAACTTGCGCTAGCCGCTATTGTCGCTTGATTAAATGTTGAACTTTCATGTTATTCAGTGTCGTTATTGAGATTGAAAAGTGTAGTCGCGCCACACTCGTCCGGGCTCGCGTGATTCACAAGCTTTCCGGGTCTTCAGCTAGTCGGCGGAACCCAAGCCTGGTTCGGCTGGGGCGCAGGAGCTGCACCCGGTGGGACCCAAACTTGTTGTTGATTGCTCGGTGCGTGGTTCTTTCCCCCCGCGAACTTGTCTTTGTTCTTATGTTGAAACCCTTTCTTCCCGCCAAACTTTCCGTCGTCCCCGTATTTACCGCCGACAAATGGCTTTCCGTACGGACCTCCCCCTTGCGGGTGGTGCTGCGGCGGCCTAATAACCGCGCCGTAACTCGGCGGCGGACCGGGTGGCGGTGCCGGCGCGCCGGGCGGTCGCCAAACGCCGCCCGGGGCGGCCGGTGGAGCCCCACCCGCGGGTGGTGGAACAAAATTTGGTTGCTGCTGGACCGGTGGCGCAGCCGCCGCACCGGGCGGTCGCCACACACCATGTGTCGCTGCGGGGGGCTGGTGGGTGGGAACCTGTGTGTTGTGTAAAGGCGGAAGCTAAGTGGAATGGAAGTGAAAGTGACACTTTGTTTCCTTTGGAAAATCAGGAAGAAAAATCACGCCTGCTGCTGTTTTTTGCAAGCGAAAATGTTATCGACAGAAACTACAAAGCATCTACTTATACCTGCTGTGGTGGTGGCGCTCCCGGTGGCCTCCAAGCTCCATCGTTGGACGGTGGGGGAGCAGCCGGGGCTGCTTGGCCCGGGGGACGCCAAGCACCGCTCTGCGACACACTGGGCTGCGCGCTTTGCTGCGGTGGGGGCCTGGAGAGATGAAGATAAAAGTTGACTTTAGCAATCATGCCGCCGACTTGCCTTTCTCATGACAAGTCCGGATGGAACTACTTAAAGTGCTGCCTAATCGCTTTTCATTTTATTTCTTTCGTCTTCCTGCTCTTGTCTTCATCGCTTGCAGAAGAAAATTACAAAGAAATCGCAATAAAAATCTTACTGTGGTTTGGGCTCCTGGTGCTGCACCGGGGGCGGGGCGGTAACGGAAGCGGGTGTCTGCTGCTCGAACGTGCCGGCGCGCACGACTTCTCTCTCCTCCCCGATAGGCTCCGTCAAATTTGTGGACGGCGCATTTGCGTTGCCGCTCAAAAGCTCCTCGCGCTTCACGCGCCACTCCTCCGGGTCGTACATAATGCGAGGCTCTGCACCGAAATCGGTGCCCTGTAATAAGTCGACGTCCACGGCTCGCGTCAGCTGCTTACAAATTTCCGTCCCGACTTCATCCGTGAGTGTCATTCCGTCGCGAAACTTGTAAAACGGCACAACGCTGTTCAATTTTGTCCATTTTTCTTTTAATTTGCCAGCACGCAAGACAGAATTGTTCTTTCATTGTTCGGTCCACCACAAGAAGAGGAAAATCAAAATAGGTCATAAAAGTAGACTTCCCGGAAAAAATAATATTATGCGAAACAAAAACAAACCCACAAAAACTGTACCCAACGTTCGGGTCTGTCATCTTCAAGTAGTCGAAGTTTTCGTAGGGCGTGACGCAGAGCTTCATCCAGTGCACACGGAAATTTGCGGCCAGTTTGGAGGACAGCGTGCCCCAAATGTTCTGAAACAGGTTGGGGTCGGGTAACGACAGCATTTTGGCGTACCCCAGCAGCTTCTTCGTTTCCTTGCAGGTCATGATCAAGATGACGTGGTCAAAGTGGCGGAAAGTGCGGTCCAGGTACTCGCTGTTTCCCGGTGTGGTCGCCCAAATCGCTTTTGCGATCGAAATGTCCAGGTTCGCGCGCGAACCGCTCTTGATGAACACAAACTTCGTCTTCGCGTTCTCGACCGGCTCCGGGAGATTCACGAGGACGGGCAGCTCTGCTTGCCGCTGCGCCTGCGTATAATTTTTTAGGCTTGCGGAGTAGGTCGAGAATCCAGTAGTTCTCGCAATAATATTCATCGCGAAACACAAAACGCGGTGCAGTGGTGACGAGAAAAACGGGTCCAATGGTAAGGATCAAAAGTTATCTGGGAAAAAATTGCAGACGCTGTCTTGCACCAGAGCTTACGGCAATAGATACAAGAAATGTTTGATTCAGTAAGGAAGTACCTCTTCCTGCTGCGGCGTCGGCTTCAGCTCCAACTTTGGTATTAGATGAACGTTCTCGGCAATGATGCACTCGAGGAAATAATCTGACACCACTTCGGGCAGCTCCCTCCTTGGCCGCTTTTCGTGTCGCAACCGACACGCATTCCCGAGCTTGCAAAAACCATACCTAGGGTAATCATATAAAATTGAGGATTATGTGTTATGTTCAATTAGGCTCCTTCCCCTTGAACTGCCGCAACAAGCGGCTATTAAAACATTCGCGCTACAACAAGTCTTCAACTAGATATACTTGTAATTTTCGCAATCCGGCCTTGTCTCGTCCTTTGTATGGCGGTAGATGCAGTCCGGATCGGTGCACTTGCCGTACCTGAGCCAGGTTTGGCACTCGGGCATGCGGTTCGGATCGTAGTAGTGCAAATAGGGACATTGCTGCTCTCCCTTCATGCAGAGGTTTCGCAGCCAATGGCGACATACCACGGTGTGGGGCTGGTGGTAATTGCGGTTGGGCTGGTGGTACTGCTGTGCAAGGTTTTCCTGGTCCTTTTTCGTCAGCTCCGCCTCGAAGTCGAACTCCATGGCGTCTGCCTCCAGGCACAACATGATCGCCATGTTGGGCGACGTGTCTATTGGGTGTTTTTGCCACGGATCGTTGCCCTGGGGTTAAGCCGCGTCGGATGAGAAACCGGCGCTGTCGGCCATTCTTCTTTCGCAGGTCGTCATGACGCGGTAGGTAGTATCCTCAAGAACGCCAGTCGGCATTTCGGTCTTTTGGGAAAGAATGAAACAAAAATGAAAATCTCTACGTAGTAAAAATGGAATGTCTCGGAAGGGGTGGGAAACAAACTTTGCGCCCAAGGAGTGGCCGTTATCTTTTTTTATGGTTATCAGAACGGAGCAAAAAGGTGGGTCTCACAGAAATTCACACTGTTCGCTGTGTCGCCTGCAGAAACGGGTCGGATCGGTAAAAAAGGATCAAAAGCGAGATCGCAATCAAAACTCATGAGCATCAAGAAATGATGATCGATGCATGCAGCCGAGAGAAATATGCGCTGATCGGTTGGCAAAAGTGGATCGTAGCAAGTCGCAACGTAGCGGAGCAATGAATGCGCTGTGCTGGTGCTCACCATGCGATGCTGACCTGAGTAGAACAATGAAACCCATATTAATAGCTCGCAACCTGAGAACACCGATGCAGTTTCATAAAACCAAGTACTTCATGCGTCGTTTTCGCTTCAAACTATTCAGCATAGCGTCTTCATATCTTCGGTCTTTTTTACCTTTGCATCATACACGTAGGACTCTGCATCCTTGACAATTTCTTTCAAAGACATCTGTATACAGTATCTCCTCTGTCAAATGGTACAGTAGAAGTAGATCAACATGAAACAATAATTCTAGGAAACTCAAGTACATTTTCTGTTTTAATTTTTTACGTTGTCGCGAATAGCACACTCCCGGATTTTTTTAATTTTTTCGCGATGCTGTGTACAGGTTAGTCTTTCTGTAACCTCTTCTGAATACTCATTCTTCGCTCGGCGTTTTCGAATATTGCAACAGGTTTTTTCTTCTTCGAATCGATGCTGTTTGTTAGTTTTGCTAAAGTTGGAAATCAATCTGTTCTCGTTGTAAGATTAGTTTGGTACTGGTGTGCATTATCGGTGTAATCAAACGACAAAAATAATTGGTGAAACAAGAAAAATTCCTCGGGTTCATTTTTTTCAAAGCACAATCAAACTCGCAAATCTGGGTCGACAAACATCAAATTTTTGTAGAGTTTTTGTACAAGAGTCAACTTTCCAAGAGTGTTTTTGGTGGGGGTTCACATAGATTCTGCTAGCTAGCGTTTCTCAGTTTTACTGAAGATTGGGGGTACTACTTGGTTTGATTTCTTCGAAGGCACTTCTTCCGAAGTAGAAAAATTTTATGAAAACTGCACGCCCCGCATTTCCATTTTTAAATTTTTACCTTCCTACTTTCGGTCCGTCAACAACGGGAGATGGGGCGTGGTGCCGGCCCAGTAGCTCCTGCATTTCCGCCCGCGGCGGCATGTCGACGATGAGTGGCGGCGAGTAAACGTGCAGACCCTTGCCCACTGCCGGGGCCTTGATAAAGAACATGAACTCGCCACTGCCGCTGCTACTCGAAGGCTGGAGCCGTACCAGGGGGCCCGCCTGGCGGTTCCCCATGAAGACAACCTGCGCGGCGATGTTGGTCAAGTTTGGGGAAATTCTTTTTGTCATCATGGAGTGGCATTGCTCTTGCTTTTGCGACGTCGTTTCGTACGTCAAGAAACGCCGTGCACGGCAAACTCAAATCCTAATCCAACGGAAAGGTCGCTATATTAAAATCAATCGAACTCCATTCCTCTCATGTGAAAAAAAACTAGCGATGCAACCATTTCGTGAAAGACGTACACTGGGTTTGTTCGAAGGCGTCACGCCAGTTTCCGGGTGGTAGTCGTACATAGCGTAGGGGTTCTCGAACAGCATGCTGGCGCGTTCCATGGCGCCCTCCGCGCCGTCGGTAATCAAGTCATCATGGGACACGAACAGGTCCACACCCTGCACATCCGCCGTCTCGGTCTCGTACGATCGCAGGTGGCAGGCGCGGAGCTTAGCTTCGAGCGTGTGGTAGGCTTGAATGTTCCCCGTCTTTCGGTGCGTCATGGAGTAGAACGCCGGTTTCCAGGTACCGGCACCGGACCCTCCCACCGTCAACTGCGTGCGCTTGATCTTGTGCCATGGCTTCGCGTGCATGTTCAGCCAATGTCCGCACGGCTTGGAACGCATGTGCACTAGCTCTTCGACGGAGCAAGTGTTGGCTGTTGGGAGATGGAATGGAAAAAAGATTGATTGACTTCTCATGGATCCGCAGCTTCCTTGTGCACAGCCAGACATAGAAATGGAGAAAGAATACCAAATCAAACCATCATAAAAATTAGAACAGCAGCGCTGGCGCTGTAGCATTCATCTTCATCCTAGTGAATTTACACACGGCAAGCAACTCGCCGAACAACATTCATAAATACCCGTTTCCTCCGCCTCGAGGTTGAAGATGTGTCGCTCGGACTCCGGGGTGAGGCTTTCGATGCACTTCATCCAGAGGAAAGCGCGGTCTTCGTCGGTCCACTGGTTGTTCAGCGCCAGTGTTTGCAGCCTTACCATGTCCAACTCGCCCCCCCGCTATCCTGAGTAAACACGTCCCCACACCAGAGTCAAGATGGGGACTCGGCTAGACAAATCCACAAGCTTTGGCCGTTTTGCATGACAGATTTGGACTCGTAGTGTAGTGCTGTTTGACCTACCTCAGCAGCATCACAGATCTACTATATCGTGCTGGTTGGAGCATGACAAATTCCAAAACACGACTGCGACATGCTTCTTATGGGGCTCCGCATGAGAAACATTTTCAGCATTCAGATCTGCATGACAACTCTGGGGTGGGGACGTTTTTACATAGGATACCCGCAGGTACATCGTCCCAGGTTCGTAGGTGAGCCCGTTTTTGCCGTGGCGCTTCTGGTATCAAATGTAAAAATGTCTGGGTCTGGAAGGTTAGAACTTGTCATGCTAAATCTCAATGATGCGAAAATCTGTGCTGCGTGAGTACCAAAAGCTGTCCGCTTTTGACCAAGTTGAGGGGTAGTTTCTCATGCAGGAAAGGCATGATGGAGTCCTCAAAAAATCTGTCATGCTGGGTCTCGCATTCCAGACCTCATGGGTCATGGAAAACCTGCATCACAAGTCTTGCATTCTTCCAGACCCAGACATTTTTACATTTGATATCTGGTTGACCGCCTCCGCGACGGCGTAGTCTTCCAGGGACACGTCGTGCCCCCCCTGCACGAACAGCCGCTCCACCTTCCAGAACCGGCCCCAGCGCCGGCCGAGCTTGGAGAACGCGCGCAGGTTCTCCTCCAGGTCCGGCGACAGGTAGTCCCCGGGCACGTCACTGACCGGCATGGGCATGAAGGCCGTGCTGTCCGAGCCGATGTCCGTCCACTCCAGGTTGGTGTAGGCGCTCGGGAACAGGTCCGCCTCGCCGGTGATGGCCGTCCCCCGGGCGGACTGCCGCAGCGCCAGCTTCACCTGCAGCGCGCGTTCCTGCGCCTCCTTCTCCTGCTCCACAAACCTGTCGAAGGAGTCGTCTCGGCCCCCCTGCGCGTGCACGCGCTCGCGCGCGCGCCGCGACGTCTTGTAGGCCTCCATTTCGAGCTGCTCCACGCGCGGCACCGTGGTGTACACTTCGCCGGAGGACACGAAACTGCCCGCCTGACTGGAGTAGGTCTGCTGCACCTGCGAGTCCAGGAAGGAGAAGTCGCCCGCGTGCACGATGGCGTCGGGCATGTTCTCGTCCTGCGTGCCCTCGTAGGTCAGTGACCCGTCCACCTGGTGCAGCAGCTCCTCCATCTTGCCGTGCGTGTTCTATTACAGTGAAAAATGCCCCCACTCCCAGCTTGGCAGCATTTGTATTGCAAACCTTTCCAACAGAAACATTCCCCGTCTTGCATAACTCAGCATCACAAATTTTCCATGGTGAATAGGTCAAATTTGTGTTGCGAAGTAGCCCAACAGCAGCCGAATCTGTTATGCACAAGGCACTTTGCGCACCCTGATTCTGCATCAGAAACACTCGCAATCCTTTTATGCAAGACAAAAAGCTTTCATTTGGAAACTTTGCATGACAAACTTCTGCAAATTCCGGGGTGGGGGCATTTTTCACTGTAATATGTTCGAGGTGAGAAACAGCCGCGTGTCCAGCGGGTTCTTGGTCGGCAGCGCGGTCGTGGCGGCCGGGATGTCCTTGGCCGGCACGCGGCGGCCCCCGGTTTCCTCCTCGGGCTGGAAGCCCTTGCCCGCCGCGGTCGTGATCCAGGCCAGCCGGTCCACGTGCAGCAGCGCTTCGGTGTCCTCGGAGTAGCAGTGCCGCGACAGCCGGCCGTCCGTGTTGCGCGGCTGGGAGCCCCAGGGGTTGATCAGCAGGTCCACCCCGCCCGGCGCGGAGCTGGTGGCGGGGAGCCGGAAGTAACACCCGTGCGGCGACCGCTCCCAGTCGTCCGCCAGCTTCTCAAGCACGTCCCGCAGCTGCACCGCGCGCGGGCTCGCGACGCCGTACATCTGCACCTCCGTCACCAGCTCCCGGTGCAGCTCGGTGTACGTCTTGTAAGCCATGTTGTTGAACACATCTCGTTCCCGCGCCCGCAGCGCCGTCGCGCGCAAATCCACATACAGGGCGAGGGGGTCCTTACCCTCGTCGATGCGCGACCTCCGGTTCTGCATGCTGCACTGGTCGTATGCAAAACAAATTCGCCCCGCACCGCGGTCGTTCTTCCAGTTGCTTATGCACCGCAGGGAAGAACATGAAAACAAGCGGAGAGAGACTACAAACGGCTGCGCTGTTCGTCTCCTGTGCGTGATAAAACGTACTCTTTCAGATATAATGAGTAGAACAAAGGAGAATGTTGCGGTCTGAATGAATTATGACTCCCTCTTCAAAAGCAGCTGCTAGAATTTTTTCACAAGCGAATATCTTCATACGCCACTATGAAGAACTGCGGTGCGGGACGAAAAACCGCGTTTCTCTGCCGTATGTGGAAGGATGCAAACAAGTCGTTTTTCGTCACCTTGGTCAGGTACTGTAGCAAAATGGACGCCCGGTAGTGGAGTTGCAGCACGACTTGACTGGAGTCCGTGTGGGCAACTTGGAAAATGCGGTCGATTCCCAAGTTGTGCTCCCCCAGGTACTTGCACACCTTGGCAAACTGCGAGTTGTCCTGGTCCGTGGTCGTCGCTTCCACTACCCGCTGCCCATGTACGTGCTTGTACATGGCATGCACCTGTTGTGATGAAGAAACACGCCAAAAATCCAAAAAATCTTGGACAAGGTAACACGCGCTGAAGATAAGATAGACGAACCGATGCCCGCCTTCCTGGAAAGTAAGTACATTAAGAGGGAACGAAGACCAACATTTGCAAGCGCACCACATAGAAAAAAACACTGAGCTTTTCCCGCATACCAGCCTGTCCCACTCCGCGCTCAAATTCAGCCGCTCGGCCTCTTCCTGCGCAAACTTGGCATGGTCGTCAAAGTCCCGGATGCCGTCGTACTCAAATCTCGACTCTAGATCGGCCAGCGGCAGTCCCGAGGCCATGTGCTCGTAGTGATAGTGGAAGCCGAGGGGGGCCTCCGGCAACAAAGCAGACGATGTGCGACTAGTATCCAGGGAAAAAAAGCAGCTAGTGTGATTTTTTTCGAGGGAGGGCAGCATGATTGCGATAAGTTCTGCAATGACAACACTTCTCATGCGTACCTAGTCCTCGTACGTAGTACGCGCGAATAAACCAATTGAAAGTTGTCCCTTGCATTATTCTCACCTGCAGTACAATAAATTTATTTCCACTAAAACAGCTTGTATTTTGTTGGATAACTAGGCGCCCAAGACCAGTATTCGCGGAACTCCTCATCGTAGTATGAAAGTGCACAAAAATTCCCCCGTACTCGTGCCTTTTGCAGCTACTTGAAGATATGCATGACACCTCCTTCTACCGGAACTCGCTCAGCGTCTGTTGAGTTTATCTTCATGCACACGCTGTTCGCGTTGTCGTTTCTTGTGATGGCGTCTGTTCCTTGGAGGAATGGACTTCAAGTGTGTGAGAGATAAAATTGTGCGTTCTCATACGAACTCCTGGTAAGGATCGCTGTCTTCGTTGTAGTCTTGTCAACTGCAAATATGTCTGGGTCCTCTGGATGAAAGTTGTGACTCTAGCTAGTGGTTACCAAACAGACAGAGATGCACTGCCGAGCATGTTGACCAGTCGGACATACTTGTCCTTGTGCTGACGCTAGGGCTAGGCAGTATTCCGCATTACAAAAGGTCGCATTTATTCGCAATGCAACAAAAGCATGCATCAAAAAGTCTAGAGAAGAGAGAGACATGCGATACGCGAGCCGCGATGCTTTCCAACTTTGCAGTTTTTCAGACCCAGACCAATGCGCGGTGGATAAGTCTACTCCCTCCTCGGCTGTTATTTTTTCACAAATCAAATCGTTCACCTTACAGACGCAATAAAAAACCTGAGTCGTATTCTATTTCTAAATCATAATGATTTCATAGTTTCAGCTAGCAATAATTATTCCGCTTGCTATACTAAGCGCACACGACTCCCCTTTTATGTAGCCTCTTACCAAGCCCGCCTAGAGTTTCCTGCGCCACCGCGACCCAGCCTCCCCATGGTACTTTGTACAAAGCCGGGGTGCCGAGCTCCTCACTTCTGCTTGGGAAGGCCAGCGCGTACGTCTTGTCACTTGTAATCCCCGCGGCACCAACAATTTTCTGTTTGTCGCTGTTCCTGCAGTAGTATTGATCAGCGAAGAACTTGCGAAATTGCTGCTCATCTGCATCTTCGTCCGTCGATCAGATATGGGCGTGTGTTACCGAGTTTAGACACATAGCGCAGCTGACGCTGTCGATTTGAAAACCTGGTAAGGTCTGCATCAATTGCTTTCATCGTTGAGCAAGACACATTCATCGTGCCGTCAGAGATGTATTTGGTTTCCATTGCTCTGCTCGCGTTCCTCGACCTTTTCCATGACCATGACGGACAGCAAAACAAACGCAATGAGAACTGCGAAATGCCTAGCAGAAGCAATGAAAAAAAAACTAACTGCGTAAAGACAAAATTCATACCCTTCGGCAGAATGCGTGACAACGCCTCGCCAGTTTTGCATCTGCAGGTAGCCGGGGTTGCGATACCCGATCAGATACTTACCCTGGTCGTCGCGAAACACGCACCGGCCGTGGGAGTCGAAGTAGCTCAGCTCGTCTGGATTGCAGTACAGGACCTTTTGCGGTACGGCGCCGGTAAACTCACTGATCGGTTCCAACAGCTGTTCCGGCGAATTACCCTTGCCCTGACGAATCGCGAGGGCGAACCGAGCACCCTCGTAGTACAGCTTCTCCATTGCGTCCACTACTTCCATCAGGCCGGGAAGCATTTACTAGCGAAATCTTGGCACTAGGACCAAACTTTTTCTTTGTTTCCGCGTTTTCACCCCTTTCATCACAATCCATGCACAAACGAACTGGTCAGTGTAATGCTAATAATCTTCAAGAGATTAATCAAATACAGCTTCCGCAAGCTCCTTAGATATGCTCAGCGCAAGATGCTGTTTGTACCTCACCCAAGATTTGCTATCATACAGGCCGAGGTTAGTGTCTTCATACAGCTCTACGCCACGTGCCCACTGCCAGCCGACCTAGGATAAAAAAATGTGTTACGCATGGAAAAAACGGACTACAAAACGTGCGTAACGACATCTAGATTTTGTCAAGAGACAACTAGTAGCATCTACTACATCTTCAGGTTATTTCTTGCGGTTGCAAGTACAAAAATCAAAAACGATATACCGGGTAACAGACCACCGGTCTGCGCTGCTGGTTGTCTTGCACGGCGGGAATGCCGTACAGATGGAACGCGCAATCGCGCCACGCGAGCTTCTTCTGGTCGCGGTACAACTGCGTCTCCTTCGGCTCCCCGAGGGTGGGCATGTCCACCTGCGCCCGGTAGGTCTGGTCCTCGGTGCGCGGCAGCTCGTCGTCCTTGGGGTTGCGCATCACCAAAGGGTCCTTGAAGGTGAGGTGGTAGTTCTCTGCGTACTTGGGCACCACCACGCCGCCGGGTCCCGACGGTTCCAGCAGGTCCGTGCGCCAGAGCATGTTGGACGCCTTCTTCTCCCAGTGCTCCATACCGTGGGGAAAATTCACTTTCGGACCGTGCTTCGCGTTGTAGTTGGTCCCAATCCCAGCGTCTTTCGGGATGGCGTAGCCGTCTGTACAGTCGGTTCGAACAAGACAGAATGTAATTCGCATTTTTCTTTCTGTGTTTTTTCTTTATGCACGTAACAAGCATCACAATCAATCAAATATTTGTGGTGTAGCAACACAAACAAAAGTTTTTCCTTTATACCAAAGCCAAACACTAAATACAACACCGGATGAATTTCAATAATACATTTGTGTGCGGAGCCCGTTCGAGTGTAGTGCCTTGGGGCCGCTGGTGCTGGAGCTTGCGTCGCTGGGGGTTCCGCGACAGCCTCTCCGGTCTGAGCAAAAGAAGACAAATCATGCTCCGGCTCGTCGGTGTTCCCGCTCTCCACAAACTCCCGCGCTGCCGCAGTCGCGGCAAACAAATAGGAGGGAAGCCGCATGAGACGCGTCAGTGGACTGAATGTCTATTCTTAGTTTGTAGATTTATTATCGACTCCGATCCAGATACGCGATGAGAGAGCTCTGACTAAATCTCATCGACCAAAATCAATTTTTCTTTTTTTTGTCACGCCTGCTGTTATCCAAGCCATAGTTTCTACTTACGACAAGATACTGCAATAAATCAAGGACGTCAAAAATTCTGGCCCAAGTACAACTTTCCCCCGAAAAAATTCAGCTGCTACACATTTTTACGTAAGTGAAGATCAATTTTCGGAAGGGTATTTTCTTTTTTTTGCACAGCGAAATAATGTCGCAGCATCACGTAGGCAATAAGTACCGTGCACTTTTGCGTTTTGACTGAACCAACGAAACGCGAACCGAACGACTATGATGTGGCGACGACGATATGCGTTCTGGCGATTTTTGCACTGTTCCCTTCCGAAGCAGCACTTCGATCGCCGATTGCAAAAAATCGAATCAGACAGTCAGCGAAAACGATTATCTCAGCCCCTCTCTGTCAGACTATTCATTTGCGAGGCCCCTACCACGCTTCCAAGAAATAAAGAATCTACATTTGCATAAGCATATAAGTACGAATATGTTGCCACTTTTCTCGTAGCATTACTCTTTTCACGAGTCGCATTACACATTATCCTTTCATCACACTTTCCTTCTCATTTCCGGGCCATGATCATTCTTGGGCGAACACTCTTCGTGTCTGCTGCGCCCTGCTTTCGTTTCGCTGGCTGGCTGTGTTCCTACTTTTTT